GAAATGCTATGCATATTAAATCTGCTGAACTGATGATGCATGTGGAAAGAAGACTGTGCTTGAAATGATTATGAGATCCTTTTACGTTTTATTTTTGAGTTTGTTTCGCCTCGCTGTTTTATTTTGTTTATATATATATGACTTAAAATGCTAATTTGGTGATACGCTATGTTTTAAAGATTGTTAAAATAGGCATCGGCAAATTATAGTAAGTAATTCTATAGCTGGATATTATATTTATGAAGTTATAATTTTACCAGATATGCTAATTTTCTTTGTGGTAACGTGGTAAAAACTTTGAATACACTGCATAAGCAGAACTGTGAAAGCGGTGTTATAAATTGGTAAAGCTGAGCTTATGGTGTCACAATATATTCTTGCATTTTATACTATTAATAATTAGTGAAATAACTGACTGTTCTCTGCTGAAAATAACAATAATCAGTTGTTTATTATTGCAAATTAATATTAAATTCTGTATTTTAAATTTGCATTTCTAACAATAGTTTTGTTGAAAATAAGTGTAGTAAATTATTTATTTTAAATTAACATAATAGAATAATCCAGTTACGCTATGTTTTAAAGCTTGTTAAAATAGGCATCGGCAAATTATAGTAAGTAATTCTATAGCTGGATATTATATTTATGAAGTTATAATTTTACCAGATATGCTAATTTTCTTAGTGGTAACGTGGTAAAAACTTTGAATACACTGCATAAGCAAAACTGTGAAAGCAGAGCTAAGGGTCATAAATTGGTGAGGCTGAGCTTATGGTGTCACAATATATTCTTGCATTTTATACTATTAATAATTTAATGAAATAACTGACTGCTCTCTGCTGAAAATAACAATAATCAGTTGTTTATTATTGCAAATTAATATTAAATTCTGTATTTTAAATTTGCGGCTTATCTTTGGAATATGGTAATAGGTAGTTTGGCGACATTTTGGAGGCGATAAAGGTTACTACCTAGGACTTTGGGAATAATGTGAGAAGTACTCAGTTCCGATTACGCATTATTTTGTGTGAGGGAAATGAGAGATCATGAGATATGTCATGTGACATTAATGGACGAATCACTGTTCTTTAATTGGAAAAGGGGGTATATTTGTAAAAATATCTGCTGTACTTTATAGCAGTAGTTTCATTCTATGTTCTGTGAAACAGTGTTGTTTAATATTTGGATTCCCATGGCCGTATATAAAGTAAATCCGAAATTTTTATTGCGTTTATGTGTAATTGAAAAGAATTGCTTAATTGCGGATAAGTATGAATGTCCAACATGTGGGAATGAAATGAGATAAAAGAGAGATTGTGTGAAAGGAAGGATATTACAGATAGTTTGAATGGCGGTGGAAGAAACCTGGTGAAAATGGACATTTTGTGATCCGCCATGTACTCAAGATTCTGTAGAAGATTAGGTAAGTTATATTTTTAATTATTTGAGAATATTATTTTTATGCATTGTTCTAAATGTAAGGAGTAAATAATTTAATATGGTATTATTGGAAAATTGTTATTAGCAATGATTTAATTTAAAGTAATTAGGATTGTAAGCTAATTTTTTATTAATTTAATGTATGTGCTTATTTATATTTTAAGTAGTGTTTTTTAATTTAATTATATTTTAATTTAATGATTGTGATTTTGAGAGTTATATGTTTGTAGTATTTTCGAATAAGTTTGAGTAGAAGTAAATGTGCATGGAAAGAATTTAAGTATTTGACACTAAGTATTTGTAATCATTTTTAATGTTTTGTTATAAATTCGTTGGTGATGTTTATAATACAGTCAAAAGTCGTTAATTCGGACTCGTCGGGACTTCGGCGATTCCGGATTATCGATTTTTCCGGATTATAGATCATCAGTTTAAATCTCGTAAGATGGCATGCAGAAATTCTAAAATTAAAAATATGAAACCGTAATTTTATGAAATAAAGAACAATTATGATCTAAAGGGTATCAAAATTTGCAAAAAGAAAAAGCTTATATATTTTTGTTTACTTTATTAAACATTTCTTTCAATGTAAGTTGTTTAAGTTTTGCTTCGTTTCATGTGATAATACTTTCTCTTTAATTCTATTAAACAGACATAATTTCTTGTTCAGTTACAAAGTTCCGCTGTTCAAGTCCTATAATTGTTGCTGTGTCAAGAATACCGACTAATTTGTCAATCGAAATTTTTTTGTTTTCAATAACCTCTGTCACTTTTCTTCGCTTATCCGAAGCGAATTATAATGACGAGGAACTTGTTTTAAATCATATCAAAGACGGAGCATATCGAGATGAAATACTACATTTGGTAAGGAATTATAAGCCAAATAAAATAAAAACATCTCTGCGCTGAAGATAAGGATAGTGCTGACAAATCAACTTCCAATTCATTAGCGCCCCGCCGCCGAGCAGCGTGAAATTGATAAACAGATTTCGGATTTCAAAACATACTTTCGCTTTAGATTCTTTACATATTAACAAATATATATCGGAAATTCTATTTGATATAATCGAAAGTTTAAGCTTACTTTTATAAAATTGCTCTTACAGTCTGCACAAAATAATAAGCCGGATGCAATTCGAAAATTAAGGAACAACGCAATCATCAACATTAACTGAAATAGATAATTAGATAATTTTAGCTTATACGTCCGTTATACATAAAATGCGCACGTGAAAACGTATTCTGCACTTGCGCACACTCATATGCACAGTCGTAAAAGGTCTTACGCGCACGCGTGAACGCCTCTGCGCATGTGTCAACTTGGCGCATGCGCAGAAAGTTTTTAGTTTTGATGTCCGGATAATAGATCATTCCGAATTATGGGTGCCCGAATTAACGACTTTTGACTGTAGATAATTTAGAGGTAAAAGTTTTTGGTTGATCTTTACATTATGGTAACTTGGCGTTTTTTTTTTTTTGGCGAAAAGTTGGCGACCAACTCTCCTACAGCAACCCTCTATTTTTTTTTTCCCGCCGCCATTTTGTCTTCACGAAGTAAAGACATGTTTCTTTTCTTTTTATCTACTGAACACTTCTTCCAACAATCTACTAGCCGAATTACACTTATGCTAGAAATTTTATCTAACAAAACTGCTTAATCATGACAAATATTCACTGCAAAATTGGGAAAAAGTGCACAATACCATACTCCTTACGCATTTTTCAAAATAACACATACACATAAACCATGTACACGCCGACTTATTTTTACTTAAAAAAAATCCCAGAATTGCACAAAAATGGCATTGCGCACACTCTTCACTATATCCATGTACACTGCTTTTTTTCTCATAAATTAGAAAAATTTTCACGAAAATACATGACAATTTTCTGAATCTTTAAACCCGGTAAAAAGAACATATATGAAATTACCTGATCGCGAAAAAGTATTTACCCTTTCCAAATATGAACATTTCCACATATAAAATAAATAAAATATCCAAAAACTTTTACCTCTAAATCATCTATTACATTATACACGTCACCAACGAATTCATAACAAACGCAAGCATTACAAATACTTAGTATCAAATATTTAAATTATTTCCATGCACGTTTACTTCAACTTAAACGTATACCAAATTCCTACAAACATAACAAAAATTCACAAAATAACTATCATTTAATTAAAATATCACTAAACCATGTACACGTCGACTTATTTTTACTTAAAAAAACATCCCAGAATTGCACAAAAAATGGCATTGCGCACACTCTTCACTATATCCATGTACACTGCTTTTTTTCTCATAAATTAGAAAAATTTCACGAAAATACATGACAATTTTCTCAATCTTTAAACCCGGTAAAAAGAACATATATGAAATTACCTGATCGCGAAAAAAGTATTTACCCTTTCCAATATGAACATTTCCACATATAAAATAAATAAAATATCCAAAAACTTTTACCTCTAAATCATCTATTACATTATACACGTCACCAACGAATTCATACCGCAAACCATTACAAATACTTAGTGTCAGATATTTAAATTATTTCCATGCACGTTTACTTCAACTAAAACGTATACCAAATTCCTACAAACATAAATTCACAAAATAACTATCATTTAATTAAAATATAATTAAATTCAAAAACACTACTTAAAATATAAATGAGCACATACATTAAATTAATACATACATAATACCCATTTCGAATTCACTTAGTTACGGCCATGGGATCCAAAAATTCACGAACACTGTTTCACACAACACAGAATAAAGCCAAATACAAAATTTCCAGATTTTTTTTCCCGATTTCCCCCCTTTTTCCGATTAAAGAACCGTAATTCGTCCATTAATATCACATGACATATCCCATGATCTCTCATTTCCCTCACACAAAATAATGCGTAATCGGAAATGAGTACTGCTCACATTATTACCAAAGTCCCAGGTAGTAACCTTTATCGCCTCCAAAATGTCGCCAAACTACCAGTTACCATATTGTAAAGATCAACCAAGTTTTTGGATATTTTATTTATTTTATACGTGCAAATGTCCATCCTTGGAAAGGGTATATACTTTTTCGCGATCAGGTAATTTCATATATGTCCTTTTAACCGAATTTAAAGATTCACAAAATTTTGATGCATTTTCGTGAAATTTTTCTAATTTATGAGAAAAAAGCAGTGTACATGGATATAGTGAAGAGTGTGCGCAATGCCATTTTTGTGCATTCTGGGATTTTTTTTTAAGTAAATATAAGTCGACGTGTACATGGTTTAATTATATTGTAATTAATGATAGTTATTTTGTGAATTATATGTTTGTAGCAATTGGTATACGTTTGAGTGGAAGTAAACGTGCTGGAAATAATTTAAATATTTGACACTGAGTATTTGTAACCATTTTTAATGTTTTGTTATGAATTCGTTGGTGACGTTTATAATAGATGCTCAATACTCAATACTTTATTTTGTGTATAATTTATTTATTTAAATGATTAAGTTCTTAACTTATGGCAGTATGATTGTAGATTAAATTTCTTTCAAGGGTCCTGAAAAGATACGAGCTTCTGTTCTCCTAGATAATCCTGAAGAGCTACTTGAATACCTGGGTAATGGAACTCAAACTGTTTGTGATGCTGTAAAGAAAGGATTTCATAAATCTCGTAAGTGATGTTGTAAGTATAATTTGAAACAGAAATATTCTTTAGAAATTGAATATTATTCAGGGGGGGGGAAAGCTTTCTATGTGCCCAATAAAAAACTGAGGTATTCAATTATCATAAAAAAGTATTTTATAACAATAACCATCACTTATTAGATAATCTAATGCTGTGGCAGGTGAGTATTTCATATTGTCCTTTGTGTGACAATGAAATCAAATGAGCATGTGTGACAATGAAATCAAATGAGCATGTGTAATAAATAATATAACAATTTATAATCAATTCAAGTTGAAATATTTCTCTGTTAATGTTGTTCATGTTAGCATGCATGCAATTAAAAGATGTGTTTTCTTAAAAGTGAATATTTTTCATGGTATAGAAAAGCTAAAATTATGTGTAGATAATTTTTTCTCATCCTATAAATTATTAACCCCTTAAGGCACACATTAATTTCTAATTTTCGGTCAAAAAATCACCTATTTTTTTTCTTGCATAATCATATATATGCATAACAGCCAGGGTTAGCTTCAAATCGAAATCTCGGTGGTGCAACGTTTGGTTGATTTATACTAATTTGATACCAATTCCTTGCTATATCCAAAATCTCGTTGTCATTATCTTCCGATTCACTTCCATCACTCAAGAAATCATCACTCTCATCATCGCTGAAAACTGTCTGATAAATTGGCATATTCAAAATTCTCATCGTCAGAGTCGCTCATTATCAGATAACTTTTTTTAAATTACAAAAACACTTAGTAATATAATTTGCAGTTAACTGGCTTACTTTTATTATATTTACGTAATAAAAATGGATATATTACCTTTTCCACACCAAACGACTACTTTATAGCAAAGAATTCCTAGCAAACTTATAACTAATCATCAAAATGCGCCATGTGGTTTACACAAGAAAAATGCTGAATAGTGGTGCCATCTATGTCAAATAAGTTTAATTATAATCTAGCCTATTTATTTTTACTGGAACGGATCTCAGACAAGCATTAGAAATAAAATAACGCGAGATACAAGGGCGCCCGTGTGAGACACGGGCATGTGCAAATTTGCCGGAAACTTTCGCCCGTGTGAGACACGGGCAAATGCGTTAAGGGGTTAATGGAATATTGAACTACTATATTTCATTTTACTATTGACCATTATTTTAAAATAAATCTGCATTTTAACTGGTAATACCCCAGTTAAATATTCTTAAGAGTATCAGTCTTATTTAATTATTTTTATGATATAGACGTTAATATATCATATGTAATGGTATCAATATTTTCTGTTTTGACGTATTTTATTACTTTTCTAAATTCTAAATTTTTTTAAATTTCTTTATATGATTACCGAAACAGTTAATAATTTGTAATTACTGTTAATTTTTTTTATTTAGTTTAAAAAAAAATGTTTTTTTTTTTAAATTTTATATATGTACTGAAATGAATATTTGTTTATCATTTAATCTACATTAGTTTAAAAGTTCACAATTTTTTATTTATAATTGATCTATACAAAAAGATTCATTTTTTTTCTTCCTTTCGGTAGCTATATTTGCAGCAAGACATTAACTTGTATTTCATAATATGAAAAAAAAAAAAAAAAAATTCTTTAACCAAACTAACTATACTTTATTCTATTTCAAGCAAGCTCTAATTGGTAATCAAATAAATTTGCTTTTATGATATGTGAAATGTGGCAATGCTAATTCTTACATTTTGCGTGATAGCTTATATTAATCTTATACTTCTATAATTGTATTATACTTCATATATTTTTCAGACATTAACATTAATTACATTACATTTTAAACAAATTTAACAACTGATAATATCTTTTTTGGTATTTTCTCATTATCAATATTTCTACAAAATGTTACCAGAAAGTTGGTTTACATTTTTGTAGTCAGTTTAGCAAATGATAGTTAAATATAAAACATATTTTATCCTCCAAACATATATGTAATATGCACATGTAGGAATTGGCTATTGTGCTTGAAAATATCTCCAAAACATGTCAGTTTTACTGTGATAAGACCAGAGATGTGAATAATTAAGAAAATATCCATTTTTTAAAATACACATAATGTAATAACGCTAATGTTTAAGAGAACCCTTTGTTTCAGAAGTAATTGCATATAATTTTTATCCCCCATCAATCTCTATTTATAGGCAAGGGAGGTAATGTTTTTGGTCCAGAAATTCAGTAGTGAGTTTTCTGTGAATAAGGACGAATTAGGATAACCACATCATGTTTTTACTATTTTTTAACAATGATATCTGTTTCTCTGTGTGCATGTATGACAATTTTTTCATCCATAATAAGTCTCATAACAAGTTTCCAAAAAATTTTATTTTCTGTATTAAAGCTTTCTGCATTTATATAAAGAATGGATTATATTTTGGATAAAAATTTAACAATCAAAAGTAGTACTGTACTTAAGCCCATTACATTATTTTTCTTATGAACAACCAAAAGTGGTACTTACCTTGAAGCCCATAAAATTTTTAATGAAAAGCTAATTTTCAAATAAATTTTCAGTTTTTAATGAAAAACCAAATTTCAGTGAAATTTTCAATTTTAGTTGACCTTCTCAAATTTGGTATTTAAAACTCATATATGCATTTACAATGCATATACAGCAGACCAGAAATCAGCAATGCTTGGGACCAAAGGTTGTGCAGTTTTCTGGATAGAAAAGATAAATCATGATATTAGACTGAAAGTGCAAAATAAATAAGGACATTAAGGGCATATACAATAAGGGACACGCACAAACATTAAGGACATATACTATAAAAACGTATGTAAATAAGTGACATTAATAAAGCATAAAATATTTTATTTATTTATTTTTACATCTTTCAAACACTTTTCTGTTAGAGGTTTACTTTTGAACTTTAGGGTGCTCCAGAGGAAAAATCTTTTTGGTAAATTATGTAGAGTCATAATCTTTTGCACTGTGGCACAGTTCTGTTGGTCTAAAATTTTTAGATATTTTTCACCACGTTCCAAAGCTTCATTAAAAAATATTTTCATATATATACCAAATTCACTGTCTGTGTTGGTATCATAATTGTTTTCTTACTGTGTCAAGTTCAAACAGAGCCAATAATTTCATCATCAGTCATCTGATATGCCACTGTTATATTCATCAATGAATTCCTCAGTAGAATTTTTATCTGCTGAAAGCCCTTCCCCTGACAAGCTTTCAGATAACATATACCATGTCTCTGCTTATCAGTTCAGCCAATTGCTGCTGAAATCACACATCTCTATTTTTAATACAGCATGAATCTGTTTTTCTGTTTCTCTCAGGAGTGGTTCTAAATTGGAACCCTTTCACTTTGCCGCTACTGGAGCCGCTCATGTAGGACAACGTCGAGGTTTGTTGATTTTGCTGCATACAATGATTTCAAGTTTTGGATTCCAGTGTTAGAATCACTATTGCCATAAAATTTCAACAGCTTTTCTTTATTTTCCATATATCATATATGGTCTGTGTAACAGTTCCATATGATTATGTTATAAACCAAGGAATAACACCTCCCTCCATCGTTTTGCAAAATTTCCACTTTTGCATTATTATCAATGCAATGTGTTTATGCTTTTCAGCATTGCAAGGAGTAAAATCATGAATGCATTTCATGTTTGCCATTGTATTAAGAAGCACTGAAATTAAAAATATTTTAAATTTTATCTGCAAAAATTCCAGGTAAAACAATGGCAGCACTAAACAATCTTGTGAAATAACAAATCTGGAAAAATACAACCACATGAATCATGAACTTGAAAGAGAAGTTGAGTGCAGTTCTCTATTTCCTTATCTGAATGCAAATTGGAGGGGGAACATTGTTTGTGATTTCAGTGATTTGGAAAGTATTTCCATTATGATGTCATTATTTGTTAAGTGTTCTACTTTTCTTCAGTATTTCATTCTCCATTTTGGGATTTCCTGACACTATGAACTGAAGGCTTACATTTTGAGAGGTTGTGTGGATTTCAGGTCGGTGGACTTTTTGGTATTTGACTATATAACCATGAGAGAACAATATATTATATTTTGACTGTGTATAATAAACTGGAAGTGGTACTTGGAACTGTTAACATATTTTCATGGGCAAATGTAGAATAACTTTAATAAGAGTTTAATCTAAAATAATGCAGCATATATTAAGGCCTTTTCTATTACATCTAGATATTATACTTATTTATATCAAGCCAAAGAAGGGAATGGTTTTTATAACAACATTTCATTTGCAGAGCTTCAGAGCTCTTGCAATGTAGCATGTTACCAAAAGATATGCTCATAATTCTCTTCCACTGTTGATGATGACAAGATACTAGAGCAAATAGCAAATTCAAAAACACTTATTGCTTTATTTCTTATTGATTCCAGAATGCACAGTAGTTGCTATTCTGCAGCAATTCCCAAACTAAACAGTATTGATTACTGATATCTAAATATTGCAAGTATATAAGTGCAGATAAAAATAAATTTAGATTTATTGATATTATAGAAATAACACAGAAGAAATTTAAATATGATATTCATATCAAAATATTTTAAATATATTATAAACATTTTTCTTTAACTAAATCAATTAATTGTATGTTATTCAATTTCCCTATAAAGTACAATTTTTACGAAACAAATAAAGAAGCTAGCATTTGACTATATGGTATATATTTATGAGAACTAGCTTTTACTTATGGTCAATTATACCCAATAAAATATAATCCAAATTCACAGAGATTTCTGTTTATTGGAACAAATTAGATTTTGTTTATGAACGATCAACCAGAAGTGATACTTTACTTACAGTTCACTGAAGTTTAAAACATGAAATTGATTGGAGGTTCTGTGCTAGTAACATCAGATTATTTTCCTGCTTAATAATATTAGTTCATTGAAATATATTTCAAAATCACATTAATTGCTTGATGTTACCTACTTTTAACACGTTGAATGCCATGAAGTGGCTAACGCTGAATTTGTTCATAGTGCCACAGGGGTCACTAGTGAACGGCAAAGCCATGATTACTAGAAACAGGTAATTTGAGTTAATTTTCAATGTTTTGAAATTTTTCAGTATATTATCATCATTAGTAAAATGGTTTGAAAAAAATCAATGCAATTTAGAACATACAGAAATATTATATATATATATATATATATCATGTAAGCTTAAATATTATGTGCTCATTTTGCACTGTGTTGTATTGAAAAAAAAATGAAAAGGGAACTAATGCATTCTCCACAGTATGACACGCCTTTTTTGGTAAAAGTTTATTGCCTTTGATTAGCCTACCAATTTTGGAATTTTTTTCATAGGGCACATTACAAAATTGTGGAACGACCCTAGCTTTTCTTGGCATTTTTCAAGTTCACGAGGCAGTAAAAGTTGATGAGTTCATTAATTTGTCTGTTGTAATTTAATATTTTGCCAAAATATTCAATGCAATGAGAAATTCATGTTGCCAGAAGGGCGAGCAATGTGAAATTAGCGTGGCATTCAGCATGTTAAAGTTGCATTAAGCAGATTAATGGTAAAATTTTATTCAACTAAATTTTTCATTTTTTATTTATTTTAATTGATAATTTACTCAGTTTATGTTATGCATTAATTCAGTTCAGTTTAAATTAATAATTATAGTTCTTTTGTGATTAGTTTCAATGAATCCTAGAAGGCTTTATAAATTATCATTTTCATTATTTGCACGCTTTTAAATGTTCATATGATCTATTATACATGATACATAAATATACAAATTTATGCATTATTGTTATACATAATGTATTCTAAATTTGTTTTTAATATTTATGTACAACAAAAAATTTTTTTTTTATTGTGTTTTGGTTTTTAATGGTACTTACTCTTTTTTATCACAGCAAAAGGTGAATGTCTTGGGACAAGATCTCCTCCAAGAACAGGCCCTTATAAATGGATTCCATATGAGGAAGTAAATTAACTATATTAATTATTCATTTATATAATTTTTGGTGATAAACTATTAAATTTAGAAGCTCATAGATTTATATTTTGAATTTTTAACACTGTATAGTCATTCTTTGTATATTACCAAATGTGCATGTAAAAATAGGTGATTAAAATTTATGAAAGATTTTAATATAATGCTGCTGCTATGCATCTTTTTGAAATAAATTTCTAAACTATAATGTAGATGAATTGCTAAACTGATTGGCAACATTTCATGTCATTTGCTTTTGTTTGAACTGGCCACTGAATTTTTATCAAGAACTGAAATTATAATTAAAATTTTTTTATTAGGGTGTACTTCTCTTAGAATTCAGTTGAATTATTTTAAATTTAAAATTGTAGTTCTTAATGTAAAAAGAACATACCTATTTCTGTGAATAACTTATAACTGTAAAGAACTAAAGTGTTTCAAAATATTTATTCAGACAAAATTTAGCTGTTTTTATTCATGCAGAAATTTGACTTTCTTTTTGCATTAGAAGCTCATATTTTATTTAATTGAAGTGTTATACTGTTGCATGTTAAAAATTAAAATATGTACTCAAAGATAAGATGCATTTTTATGAGCATAAAAAGTATAAATAACACATGGAGAATTTTTTATTAAAAAAAAAAAAATTATGTTAAAAATGCAGTGAAATCTTTACTTCTGAACTGCTTAACACTCATACTTTTTGAGATATAAACTTTTTTTTATACATCCCATCTTTGTATATAGATACGAATTTATTCTTGAAATATGAACTTTTTTAATAATATGCAGTTTTGGTCTCTAGATTTGAGTAGTCAGAAAGTTATTAACCAGCATAAATTTTAACTCTGATGAGACTTATCTTTTCTAAAAAAAGGTGCCTGAAAGGGCATTCATTACCAGAGCACAAACCATTGAAAGAGGATTAACATTTTTTGTGATAATGATGGCTTAGTGTTTCAAGTGCTGACTCGAAGGTGAAACCTCTGTTGGTTTAACATTCTGAAAATCCTCAAATCTTAAACAGAATGTTTATAGGCACAACCTTATTCTTATGTATAACATCAGAGTTTGGTTAACTAGGTAATTGTCCTCTGTATAAAAGGTAAAAGTCTTCACTTCTATGATAAGATTGTATCTATGGAAAAAAAAAAAAAAAAAAAAGGGAAAGAAACAAAAGAAAAATGTTCTATTTGAGTGAGTTCTTACAATAGATAATGTTCCAGCTTATCCACCATAGTTGGAAAAACATATTTAAATGAATAGTTTAATTTCATCAAAATAAAGTTCTTGCCTCCCAGTACTATATTAGTCTTTCGACCAATGCATTAAAACATTATTGCCAGATTAAAAAAATTTCATGTCAGTGATTCTTAACCTTTTTTGCATCATGCATCCCTTTCATGATCACTACACAAACTTTTCAAAACATGAAAAATACATATTCATTCATTATACATTTATTTTACAAAAATAATAAAAAATACACATGTATTATACATTTATTTTAATTGTGTTTAATAAATGAAACAAGAAAAAGTATAGAAAATGTGGATAAGTACCAGAACTTGAATAAAAGCAGTTTTTGATATTCATAAACTAAATCTAAATACCTTATAAGGTTATACTTGATCTGGTACTGCTGCTTTAATCCTATAACCCTAACAGACATATAGTGATTTATTACTGTGGCTAATATAATACAATAAAGTCTTATGGAGGTTTTTGAAACAATCATTTTATTTAAACAGAACTTTGAACATTAGGGTGTGACTTTGTGTGACAAATGACCAAAGCATTTGCAAATGTAAATTTCCAAATGCTTTGGTCATTCAAAAATTTCCAAAAGGAGAACGGTCTGTTCAAATTAAGCTTTGATCCATAGTCTAAGACTACACAGTTAAATAGTAAACTGTATGCTGGTGCAGTAAATTATTGGTGCATCAGATTAAAGTATTGGCAGCGAGAGAATGCAAGGCCAAGGTAATTACATTTAACTACAGCTGGCGAAATCTAACCATGTAACACATATGACAGAAGCACTCTTCTTAAGATTAAAAAACCTCAGCTTAAGTTACACAACCCACTAATTTGCATTCTGGTGAAGAATATGGAAAGAAGTTCAAGTAAAAAATTTAAATCATAATAACTGGCTAGTTTAAAATAGGAACCTTACAGTTTAACAAGTTAATAAAAGACTAATGCATTCCCTTCCTGAAACTATGAAATTTCACTCCCCAAGTGGTAAGGTGAAATCTGCCTTGATTGAAAAATCCCTGCTTTATATCCAAGCTCTTTTCCAAAGATAATTCAAGTCTACCACTGATGCAAAATTAATCATCAAGAAATTTTAGAAAAACCATTTAAATATATTTCATTGTTTACATCTTATTAATCAGGCATAGGAAGATGGTCACTAAAATCAGCCTGGTAAAGGCTATGGTCAGACTGTGTCCAAGGAATTGCTTTGAAAGAACTTGAAAATGAGACTGATGTCATAGATACTAGTTTCTTGGGTAAGACCATGCATTTGGAAGTTAATTAAGTGGATATATTGGTACAACAAACACGACATTGAGTGCACCAATGAAGAATTAAAGAAGTTTAGAAGGGATCTGGAAAAAAGGACTAGGGAAAAAAATTTCAAATGTCTTAAGAAAATGAAGAAATAGCAAAAAAAGGGGCAATGAAAAAAAATCTTGCAGCGTTGGAGTGAACTAGAACAACTGGTTAGCATTTGGTATGCAGATCAAGCCATTGTTTCTAAAGTCCACTGGTATCTACAGTGACAGTGTTAATCATTTTAGAAAGGTTTTGCATAGAGTCATTGTTGGTTAGTTTTTTTATAACTCTTTCTGCAAAGAGAGTGCAAAGCAATTGATGATAACAAAAAATTAGTTACAAGAAAACTGATTTATTAAAAAAAAATAATGATATTTTAAAGCAAAGTATCTAAAAACAGATATTCTATATATAAAAATAATAATTTCTACATTAATTCATAGTGTTTTTCTTTTTTATAAATGTTCTAAACCTGGGAATGGATTAATTGATTTTTCATAAGATAAAGTAAAAACCTAGGTTTTGAGTTACAAAGTGTGGCCAGGAACAAAATAAGTTTGTAAGATCACTGTAAAGATTTTATAAATAAAAATAAAAATTTCTATATAAATCCGTACTGTTTTTACCCCCCTCCCAAAGTTCTAGACTTAAGAATGGATTGATTGATTTTTCTGTAAGATAAAATGGAAAACTAAATTTTGACTTAGGAAGAATGAAAGGAAATGGATTAGGTTTGTGAGCCAACCCTATTGAAGTACCACTGTATTTTAAGTTTGCTGTTGTATCATGAAATCAGAAATAGATTTTCAGTGAGATAAGTAATGTTTGTAACTGGTATTCTAAAATACTGAATGATAGCTTCATTAGGTCGTATTTCTGTAGAAGCTATGTAGTGCTTAATTATAATCTTCATGTATATTTTTTAATTTCATTATTAATGGATTTTAATGTAAGTACCGGAAATGGATGTTTGATATGTTTTAGGTAATGAGAAGAAAAGATTATGTTGGATCTGGCTTGCTATCTTTGGGTCTTTCAGCATCTCAAAAAACCATAGTTGGAATATGCACTAAAAATAGATCAGAAGTAATTATTTATTATTTTTTAAAAATTTAATAGTCTTGAATAAAACACTGTCACCTTTTTTTTTCAACCTTGAAAGTATATTATTTAATTCTTTTTCAAATTAATGTTTTTGAATTTAAGTTTTTTATAAAACCTTATGTGTTGCATTAGATATATATAAAAATGGTCATTTGCTGTATTTATGCTGCATGCAGATCTGAAATTTAAATGCATAACTATTCTTTATTGGTTGCTTATTCTCTATTTTATTGATACATTTTATTTTTCTCATAAATTTCCAGTTTGTTTTAACTTTGTTGGGATCCTGCCATTATTCAATGATTCTTGTGCCGATGTATGAATGTTTTGGACCTGATGCATTGTCACACATTGTATCTCAAGGTATTATGTATATCTTGAAACACTGCATATTTTTGTATTTTGATTTGATTATAATTTTAATAAATTAAACATTTATCTGATTGAATGTAAAAGTTGGGATTATTTATCTAACAAAAGAAGGTTTTGGGTTTCTAAAGAACTTATTAAAGGAACAATAAAAAACCATATAGATTTCCAATGGCTAATTGCTGTGACTGTGAGATCTGCCTCTACGACAGAACTTCCTATATTCAGTCATGTTTATCTATTGTATTGCTGAATTTTATTGATATATGAGAATTAAATGAAATAAATAATTTAAATATGAGATATAAATGATGATAAATGTATTTTTGCTCTGGACAATAGCTTTAAAATATGAATTCCTTAGTTTTTTTTAAACATCATTTTGCCCCGGAAAAGTTTATGACAAAATGAAGGTAAATTAATTGAGCAACAAATTTATGCTGTAATCTAATTCTTTAATTTCTTTTAATTTTCCTTGATTTTGGATATTAATTTATTTATTATAGATAAAAAATATTGTAGTTTGATTTATTTACCTTAAAAGTTATTTTGCAGAAAATAGCACCATAATAAAATTTGGCACTTACTGATTATCCGTGGCCCCAGTAAAAAGTCACCAAAAAAGTATATTTGGTTAAGCAGTATTTTGGTAAAATAATAAAGCAATATTTTGGCAAATATCATGTAGCAACCTGTGATGTGAGCAAAAAGTATTCAAGTGACAATCTAGATATTCATGTAGCGTCTTTCTTTGGCCATTGTGCAATACCAAACTTATATGGATGTCAGATTTTTGTAATTTTATTTTTTTTAAGCAAAAACATATCATTGCATGCATGTGAAGAACAACAGTGCAAAAAAAGGATTAAAAAAATAAGTGTTTTATTACCAATATTTCTTGTTTTTTTAATGTTATTGGTTAATTGATCTTGTATGTAATTTTTAATGCAGTGCCATTTTGAAAATGGTTGACGCCTTTTGTGCATTAGCTTGGCAAAAAATTAGTCATCAATGAGTTTTCAAATGCTGTCCAAAGTTGCGAACAAGTTCGCAAATTTCATATGAGATATGGATGTGGATACATGAAATGCAAGGAGATTATAAAAAGAATTCCGCAATTTAATAAATTTATCCACTATAATTTTCAGTAAATTTGATCTTTGTTAAATGAATTTGAAATGGAGTAAATATCCTGAACTCTGCAGAATTATTTCATGTGTCATGTTTTATGTAGTATTTATACAAGTTGTTGATAATTCTAAATGAAGTATATTTTATTTTAAAATGTGTAATAATCTGAATAAGCAAGAACATGATTGTAGGATATTCTAATAGAGACAGCATAGAGAAGATTATCGGTACTTTTTACTTAAAGGAGTGCTTGTCAAAATTGTGCTCCAAAGAGCTAACTACATTAATCTGTTTACTTCGTCTCATATAGAGCCATTGTATTTTTCTTGTTTGAATGTTTATGCATTTCTTTTCTGACAGCTGTTCCATTTATTTCCTTTTGGTGGAAGGAGTACATTTTGATAGAATTATGTCAACTGCAACTAGGAATGCACCACTTTTCCACTGTTTAGAACAATTGCATTTATTTTTATCTGCAAATTACTATATTTATCTTTGTTTCTTGTACTTAATTTGCATTTAATAAAATAATCATTCTTTTCACAAAGATGTGTATATTATTAAGATTGTCTTCCAATCTCTAGATAAATCTTATGCCAACTTTTACATTTGTCAACAAGTGGTACCCTGTTAACTGAAAATTATCGATTTTTGGATAGCGCATTTACAGTCTAAAGTTGATTAAATATGCATGATAAACAAAAGCTTTTCACATCAAACATTGGTATTTATATGATATAAACTTTTAAAATTACTCTAATAATATATATAAATTTCACATTCATGTTCTTTTGCACTTTTTTTGCAATTTTTTAAGTATTATATATATAAAAATGTCCAAGACTTTTGTATTGTACTATGGTGCCTAGAGCTGCATCGAAGTTACTACTCATCCTTATGAATTATTTTTATTATTTATTTAATTTTAGCATGAAACTCTTTTTCATGAAAGGAATAAATATATTTGACAGCTCAAATTTTTAATAAAAATGTCTAAAAGTATAAAATTTTAAATTGCATTTTAATTTGTAATGCAACAAAGCAGCATGTAATTTGAATGTTTATTTCTGTTTAAGATTTTTCTGTTTCAATGTTTATTTCTATTTAAGATTTTTCTGTTTCTGAAGTGGTTATACAATCTCTTTTACAGTGGACATGGAAGTAATCATCAGCGAATCGCTCACGACTGTTGCACATATCATTGAAAATTCAGATAACTATCCAAATTTGAAATATGTCATAATAATTGAAGCTAATGAAGAAGAAATGGTTAAGCATAAGTCATCTAGGCTCAAAATTATGTCTTTCAAAGAGCTTGAAGTATGTAATGGTATACTTTCCAATTTTTCTAAAACTTACCTGTCTTTGAATGTTTTTTATTGCAAATTTCTCAAATTTTATGATAATATTATATATTATATGATAAAAATGATCCTCTAATGCATGATTTAAATAAAATACTATATTAACTAAAATAGGCTATTTATTTTTAATTCAGTTTATGGTTAAGTTTATCATAGTTTTTCTTCATATAGGAACTTGGAAAATCTAATGTACAGGAACATAAGGTAAGAATTTTAAATTAAACATCTTTAATAAATCCCATAGTTAATCATGATGCTTGCCAATCAGAAACTGTTTCTGTTTTATCGATAATTTGTTTAAAGTCATAAATGTAACACCTGACTGCTAATCACCTATTAAGTGACCACTTTATTAACTTAAACAAGTATAGTTTTATAAAGCATATGTAAACATATTGAATGAAAACAATGAGCCCTTATTTATCTGAAGAAAAGTCTCTGTGTCTATGCTTGTAATCATCGCCAAACTGTATTGCAACGAAGACCTTCCCTTCATGTAGACCTTAATTCTCTGCATAAATCTATAAAAAATAACAAACCTGATCAAACCATCCATTTGAACCTCAACAGGTCATCTATGAAAGTTTCTCTACATTTGTTTATGTTTAAATGTGGTCCCAGTTTGTTGACATTTAGTGTTTTATCTCATTTTTAACCCTAACAGCATGCCATAATTTTTTCCCCCACTTTCACTGCTAACTAGTCTAAGATGAAATATTTAACTAATCTTCCCTTAAATGTTTTCTGAGTATAATGTTATATGTTTAATGCTTAAGATAGAAATAGTGAAAGAAAATTTTATGAATTTCATAATTCATAGTTACTGTAATATATTGTAAGGATTGCCTTCCAATATCTAAGTAGATTTAATGCCAACTTTTACATTTGGCACGAACTGGTGCAGTGAATTTTTACTATCCACTTATAAAATTTGCTTAATGAAAATATGTAGGCTAATAAGAGTCATACTGAAACTGTTTTTGACATGGTTCAGATTAATATTCTGTAGTCTTTTTTTCCTTTAAAAATAGCTAAGATTATGAAAATTTTAGATTATACTACTTATTTATTTTTACTAATTCTTGCGCTGTATATGTGGTATTTACTAAAAAGCACAGCTTAGCAAAAATGGGGTTAATGAATTAAATACATATCTGCTCTTCATTTCTTAAACAAACTTTTGGTCAGCATAATTGTATTAGAACTTCCTCTCCCCAAAAGAATATGAAATTTGTTTCATATTATAGAAATCATTGTTTTTCAAAATTATATATGTAATTATTATATCAAATATTATGAATAAAGATACATATTTGTGGAAGTAATATTCTCGATGTTGCTATCCCTCATGTGTTACTTTTTTATTTTTATAAGGACATTAAATTAGAAATTCCATTGTTAACAGAGAACTGCATAGTTGCTGTATTAACATATTAAATTGCAGGAATAGACTTATATATTCATTTTGGCAGGTACAGCTTTTATAAACTTACAGTAAAGAACATCTTCTAAACTTACTATGTGTAAGCTTCTGATAATTAACATTGTAGTTGAAAATTTGAAAGAAATTTGAATGTAAGTTTTCATATTGCAAGATCTGAAAAGCTTAATTTTACTAAGCTTTGTTGGTGCATTAAACAATTTTACAAGGGAACATTCATAATAACTAAGAGTAAATAGAATGTTAATTTAATTCAAAATGTATTTTGAAGTAAAATTTGTTGACTACAGTTAAACCCCATTATAACACTTTTGAGGGACTAAATTTTTGATCGCTGTAACTAAGCTAAAAGACGAGGAAATCGTCTCACAAAAAACTCAATAAAAGGGAGTGATAAATCATAAAAAAAAAAACATTGTCATGCCAAAGGAGTGATATGAATAGTAATTATAATTTGAAAGAAAAATTCATATTTATTTCACTTCCGGTAATCATCAGTTATTAAGTAATTTTCCCTTCTTTCCCAGTTTCATTACATAATATTGGATAAACATCATAAATTTAATAACATAAATGTTTTGGTTTAAGTCCGTATTTTAAAATACATATCTGAGCCCACCAACAGCCAAGCAGTAAAGTTGTTGAACACTGGTAGTTCGGTCTGAGATTTGAGTCCCATGAGGTGGCTGGCTGCTTGGGTATTTTCATGGTTTTTCCCATGTGTAATGTGTATATGAGCCAATTTCTCTTAGGAAGTCTTCCACGAAGGCATCCCTTCCCTTAGGCTGATAGCCTTTGAGGCTTTGCCATAATCAAATAAACCAAACCAAAATACATATCTTCCTCTAAAATAATCATTTATAATTATAAATGTTCATTTTGTACATAAAAAAAATGTAAGTCAACTAGAAAAGACTAATAAAATCTTGCTTCATCTACCTTTAATTCTTATTTGACATGTGAATGCAAAAATAATATGTATATTGCAATAAAATTGTATTTATTATTTTATCTAGAAATTGAAGATAAGCCATCACACTTGATTATTCAATTTGCAAGGGAAAAAGCTTATGAATGACATGCATTTAATGCTTTACCATCTGTAGTATAGTAAAAACTTAGCTTTGCATTGTGTGGCTTCCACAGTGCTAACTGCTTAGGAGTTAGTTTCCCAAACTGCATTTTTAGATTATAGATCTTCTTTAGTTGATAATCCTGTCTTTGTCTATTAACACTAGAATGGCGGTAGGGGTAATTTTGACCCATGAACACGTATGACCATTGATTACTTTTGTTTTATTGGAAGAAATCCTTTTGGATTTTTTGACTTCTCCTAAATAGATAACAAATATTTGTAAAAAAAAAATAAAAAAAAATCAGCATTCTAGGTTTGTAATTTTTTGAAATATTGGCCTAGAACGGCGGACAGGGATCGTTTTGACCCCTTTACTATTATCCCTCTTTCTGCTGGAGGAATTGTCAAATAACCCATGGAAAACATTCACTGATAAGGATTTTTCAATTATATTAATATTATCTCCCACGGGGATAAAAATCTTGGTGGTCTCACTAATTTGTAATGTCTACATAGGTTGCTGTTCCTTTGTTTGCAATTATCTATTTGTTTGAAGAAAATACTGCAAGGAAGGTAAATGTGGGGTTTTTCATGCGTACATTTCTTTTAAGAAATAGTTTATTTTACAGATGTGTTTTCCCGTTTGTAAGTTCAGCGTACTTACTGCAGGTGATAACAGTTAGGACAGATGCTTTCTTGGTAATCCCAAATCAGTATTTCAATACATATGAATTCTGCCATCAAGTTTTTTATCACCTTTCCTGTGAGAATCATATATTCCCTATTGTTTTCTGATAGTCTGATATTTTTCTACTTTTTTCAACTTTTTCAAAATATGTCTAATAAGTGGAAAAGAGATCTTACGGATGAAGAAATTTAAAAAAATGTTGCAAGAGCTATCTGAAAATGAGTCTGACAGAGGTGAAATTGATAGTTTTTCTGTAGAAACTGAAGTTGAATTCCAGACACAAACTATTAGTGAATCCGAGGACAGCAAAGTAAACGAAGAAGAACTCAGCAGAAATAAACAGGCAAAAACAGATCAGGGTATTTGAAAAACTGTTTTTACAGCTCCTGATAACACTATATGGAATGAAATAAATTCCAAAATTCAGTCTGTGGCCGTGTTCTTGCTTATAATGTTCTAAAAGAAACCAGCAGGACCAACATCTTTTGTAAAGAGTTGTGTTTCTGAGGGCAAAGTGTCTAGTGCTTTCAAGCTTTTTATTGATGATGGTATCTTCCTGCATATTAGGAAATGTATAGAATCCGAAGCTCATCGACAACTTGGAAATAAAAACTGGAAGTTATCTCTGGCTGAGTAAAATGCTTTTGTTGCTATATTGTATGTTCGAGGAGTAATAGGAGCAAAGAGCTTAGATTTATATTCCTTGGGGTCCGAAGCGTGGGGAATACCATTTTGCAAAGAAACTATTTTAAGTGATAGAGTCAAATAAATAAAACGATTTTTAAGGTTCGATGAAAAGACAACGAGATCTACTCAATTACAAACTAATAAATTTGCTCTTGCATCAGACATGTAAAACAAATTTATTGAAAACTGTAAAACATGCTATTGGACAGGGCAAAATATTACAGTTGATGAACAATCATTCCCATCTAAAGCTAGGTGTAGATTAACACAATATATGTCTAATAAACCTGACAAACTTGGAAAAACATTGTGGTTATCTATCGACGCTGATACTAAATACCTCTTGAGTGAATTTCCTTATCTAAGAAAAGATGAAACAGCAAACTCTCAATAATGTTTGTCTGAAAATGTTGTCATAAAATTAACAGAGCCATGTCTAAACAAAGGGAGGAATATTACCATGGATAACTATTTTACTAACATTAAATTAGCAGAAATGCTAAAATCAAAAAATAAACTATGGTTGGCACAATGAAGAAGAACAGAAGAGAAATTACTATATCTTTGAAAAATATGCGTAGTAATCTTATTCATTGACAATAGTGGAACATGATAATATCACACTTACCATCTATCAAGGCAAAAGAAATAAAAGCATTTTTCTACTGAGCTCATTACATTCTACTGTAAAAACTGAAGACAGTCTCAAGAAGTTGCCCAATTCAATAGCATTTTACAAAGCAACAAAGTATGGTGTGGATATTCGTGATCAGATGTGCCGAAAATATTAAGTTAAATCGGCTTCTAGACGATGGTCTGTACATATCTTTTTCAATATTTTGAATCACGCAGCTTTGAATGCCTGGATAGTTTATAAAAGTGTAACAGGAAACACCATTAACAGGAAAGGTTTTTTTTTACTGAAATTAGGAGAGGAGTTAAGAGTGGTACACATGGCTTCAAAACTCCCAAAGATCCTTCCTGAGTCTTCAGAAAAAAACCATGAAAAGAAAATCGATATAAAGAGGAAAAAAGTGTCAAGTACAGAGATGCAATGGAAACAAATCTCAAAAATATTGCGCATCTTGTTCCAAAGTTGTGTGCAGAATATGCACTGGAAAAATTGTTAAAAGTTATTTTTGTATCAACTGCATTAATTCTTAATACATATGTATAATCTCTAATATTTTAAACATTAAATAGAACTGAAACAAAATGCTTTACATAATGATATAACTGAAAAATCAGGGAACATTTCTCATTTCTGAATTTAGAGAGTGAATCATCTTCTGAGTAAGTATATAAAAATATTATTATATAAATTTTGTTTTATTTTAGTTAACATTAATTTTAATTTGGGAAACTATTTATTTGAAATCAATTCTTATTTCAAATTAATGAGTTATTTGAGTAATTGTAGTGTGATCAAGTTGATCATCATGTACTCGATACATTTACAGTATTTTAAAAAGTCAATAAATTAACATGTGATATTAAATATAAATTATGAAATACATATAAAGTACATATTTGTGCCAATGTATGGCATTTAAAATTGTTTTACTGTTCTTATTTCAGTACTTTCATCAAAGGGTCAAAATGACCCCTTACCGCCGTTCCAGTAGGTAAGATTTTTCCCGCCGTTCTAGTGTTAACATGCATTCATTAACAATATATGGCTTGCACCCATCAAAGTAACATTCTGAGGTATCACTTTTTATTTGTAATGCCTACCAGATTGAAGAACTAAAATAGGGTTATATAACAAAAACATTCCCTAATATACAATGAGAAACTAGCTTATAAATGATTTATTTTCATATTTCATTTAGAAATGTAATTTCTTCAATAAAAAGGGAACACTTTCAATATACAGAGAGTACTTATACATTTTTAGAATGATATCGGGGCTGTTTAATTACTGTTTAAAATGTTTTAAATATCTGATCTGATGACCATTTTTTGGACTATATAAATCTGCATTATGATTTTAATGGCTTTTCATAAAATTTCCATGGGTATTAATTTCTATTCATCCTCCGCTACTTTCCAAAATCCGTCAGTCGAGGCAGGTTTGAACTTAGAAAGAGCATTTTTTCAAGTGATGAAAGGCACAATATTTCATAGTTGAAATATCACAAGACTTTGTAGGATTATGTTGAAAAGGTATATATGCAATACATTTTTTCAAGTGATGAAAGGCACAATATTTCATAGTTGAAATATCATGAGACTTTGTAGGATTATGTTGAAAAGGTATATATGCAATACCTGTATCAGTCTTCATTTTTTAAGGGAATGCATTGGAGCTTTTGGAAGTATGACTTGTTGCTTTGTCCTGATGAAGTTTCACTCTTTGAAAGTCATTTAGGTGAAAAAATAGAATTTATTTTGTAAATATCAGATGTAAAATTTTCTCTTGATAGTATATTGAGCAAATTTCCCATTGTAAGAGAATCCTATGACAATCATAAACCCCTTATTAAAACATTCTTTACATTGAGAGAACCTGTTTTGTCTATTTTTTTAACCTCTCTGTTTCGTAATATATATATATATATATATATATATATTGTTATAGTCATTTATGTAAACAGGAATTTGTGAATTCATAATGTATTTCCATTTATCTGCTCAATAAATTTCACATTAGGTTCTGCATTGAGTTACATGCCCCAGCAAAAGCTGGTGAAGATTATGTTTTTGTCATTTTTAAATTGTAAATCTTGGTTTATTATTTTATTTGTTGTTCTTACAGATGTGTTTAAAGACTTCGCAATTGATTTCTGTGTCAGTGGATTTTCTCTTGTTATCAGTGGTTTAACTTTAGAAACATTAAGTACCTTTGGTTATTTATTTATTCTTTCCTTGTGGAAATAATGATTGATGGTTTTACCCTTTCTGATTAGTAATAGTATTGCTTATTTTGCATGTAGGAATTTTAATGCCATGCATTTGCAACATTTCTCAATTATAGAATAAGAGTATTTGTTTTTGGAAAGCACAAAAACATATCCTTCAATCCACAGCTTATTTACATTCTGATATTTTGAATGAAGAATAAATATTAAAGTAGCAGACAGTGTTTCTCATTTCAAATAAAACTTTTAAATTTTAAATAAAACTGTTTTTACTCTTGCCAGAAATTTTTATTCCAATACATTTACATTATTTTTTAAAATTCTTTATTGAAATCATTCTAAAACATTCTATAAAAACATTTTTATAAGAATGCTTATAAAAATTTTAATATAAGTGAGATAAAAACAATTTTTTTTTTTTTTTTTTTTTCAGTTGCCCTCTCCTGATGATATTTTTTGTATTTGTTATACAAGTGGAACAACAGGTAGATAATTTATAATTCTTAATAAATTGTTATATGGTAAAACTTTTTATGACACCCAACCTTCAAAATGGCTTGTATTTCTGAAAAGTTTACAAAATGGATAATTTATTTCTTGAAATGCATCTTGAATTAATAACTATACACAGCAGATAATGCTACTTTCAAAGTTTTCCCTGTATGGATTTATATACTGATTCAAATGGTGTTTTTATTTCTAGAAGCAGATGTGGAATACATTTCGAAGCATATTGTTGAGTACCAGTTTTGCATTTTGTTCATTATCAGTTATATTAATCTTTGTGCAGCTTGTAATATTGTAAATAATCCAAAATATCAGAAAACTCAATCAGTTGAATAGGCAAGATGAGGGGTAATCTCATTATTTAGCCAGAAAATTTCTTGCCAAGAGACATTGTAACTATGCATGTGAGGTGTAAATTTTCAGAAATCTTTCTCATACTTAATTATTCAATAAAAATTAGCCCAACTGTTCCTGAATTTTGTCAACATTTTGCAGCTTTTAATTATTTGCCAGATCCTACTGCAAGTTTCATTTTCTTAATATTGTAATTGTTATTATAGTTATCTGCCTTTCACTGTTATTTTTTACTTTCAGTTTCTGAGGTCATCTGTCATTTTCTCGTCTATCTTTGAATCTGTATATTTCACTCAAATTCACTCAGTGTTATTATAGCATATTTGCCATATACCACTTTCAATAGTTTTAAGAATTTAAATAATACATTTTTTTCAGATTTTGATCTAAAATTAATATGGTATTCTAAATTTTATTCATTCACTTTTTATGTCAAAATGCACTTAAGAACTAATGAACATCAGCCTTTATCAGCTTGAAATTTATATTCTGATTATGTTGTGCATAACTGAATTCAAATATTCACATGTTTTCACTGTGTGCTGCAGTAAGAATGAAATTGTCTCCTGTTGTAATTAAATATTAGCTCTGAAAATTACAAATACTCGTGTTTTTAAAACAGCCATCCTCATAGAAAACAGAAATTATCTAAAGACATGGCTAGTTGTTTTGACTCGAGAACATTTCACTGTATGTAATTTATAAAGGAAATATTGAGTATTTACTAGAAATCTTTCTGTAAATTACACTTGTTTCAGTTCTTAGCTGTTCCTTATCAAATAGATTTTTTTCATATTAAAAGTGCTGGTTTCTCTCACCATATTTCCTAAGGTAGAAGCCAATAAAATTATGCATTGGAAAGATTTTCAGTATCAATCAATGAACAATATTCTTTAAAGTGCAAAGAACAATTATAAATATTATTGATATATATTTTCAATTCTGTTTCAAATATAATTCCAAAATTTCATCAGAAAATATAATTTTGGAAGTATATCAGTATATGCAAGATGGATCTGAAAGAGCTATTATTGCATATTTTCGATCACTTGAAAAGATGACTCATGATAAAAACACAGTGTTGCTTCCTGTAATTAAGACATCGAAGATTTGCCCTATGTGGATGGATTTTTAATTATGTTTAGTGTTGTGTCCTGGGTGTTAGAAACGAATCTGAGAATTTTAGAAAATATGGCTATAAAAGTTGAAGAAAATATATTTATTAAAGGAAAAGAAAAGTGCAAATCCTTAATAATGTTCTTACTAGAGTGCCAATATTTTAATATAAAATCAAGTAATCTGAGATTTTAGAAGATATTTCATTAATACCTTTCCCATCAATTACATTTTCACTATACATTTACTGTAGAACAGCTGTTCCTAAAATAGCTCCTTTGGACCTGCCCCCCCCCTCCTCAGGGATCCTTATGATTGCTGAGGGGCTCTGTGGCAAATTAATTTGTGAGTGTGCAGCCAATGTCAGAGGATTCGCAAATGGTTTAATATGAAATTAAATAATTTAAATAATTGTGACAGTTTTTCATTATTATGAAATTTAAAATAAATAGAATAAATAAGTTGGAAGCAGTTTTACATCCTGAGTAAAATGAAACAAACTGCATCCCTTTTTATTACATATAACAGTATGAGTGAGCTGAACAAAAAATGCAGACAATATAGAGTTGAATATTTAAAATATGTTTTTTTCTGTTACCTAGATATGGTACTTTACCTATGTGCTTTATATTCAATAAAACTTTGTCAAACAAATCAGTGAAGTTTAAGGAGCATTTGACAAAAGCCTGTAGTGATAAAAAAATTAGCTTTTTTAAAACGGTCAAAGAAAAACATTTGACAACACTGTTATTGCAACAACATTTGAGTGAGATGACGATGGACTGCATGCTTCTTATAACATTTTGTTACTGACTACAAAATCGGAAAACCACACTCCATTGGTAAAGAACTTTTTCTACCAGCTGTAAATGAGGTAATATGCACTGTGCTGCAAAAACAAGTATATTATGTTATGAGGCTGCTATCACACATCCATTTGTTTTGGATGAACATCTATTTCAAACAATTTTTCTCTCTCTTTTACCACCAAAAGAAAGATACACAATTTTGTCCTTTCTTTCACAAAAAAGTTGTTTGATTTTAACAGTTAATCAGCTATCAGCATCAAATCCCTGATCATCAACCATCATATGTAACGGAGAACTACTTTCCCCTTTACATTGTAACCCCACAGTAATCTGCGGTGATTAGCTGTTTTAAATCACGTGGCAAAGCAAAAAAACTGTACAAAGCAGTTGTTCTGAAATATTTTGAATGCGTGATACGACCTTGAAAAGAATTCCACTGGATAATAGTACAAAATACTACTGATGGAATGTCTCAATGCATAGAAAATTCTGTATGTGAGTTCTTAAAATATCTCAGTTCTCTATTCAGCTTGATAAGTCAACTTTGCTAGAAAACAAATCTCACACAAACTTACTTTTGGCCTATGTGAGATTTGTAAAAGAAGAAAAGATTTTCCTAGAATTGGTATTTGCCAAATGTTTGGAAATTAATGTGAAAGGTGAAGCAACACTTAATTAGTTCAAAAAAATTTTGGATCTAAAAGAAAAGTTTGATATATAAAAGCTTTTAGAACATTCTCCATATTGTTTCTGATCATGCTTTGGCATTTGGAGGATGACATTGAGGCTTTTTGGCATATTTAAAACAAGCTGTACCAAATGTTTTATCTGTACATTGTGTCAAATAAATTTTTAACAACATTTAGTTGCCAAAAGTCTTAGTAAATGCTTGCATAACTCACTAGATTGCCTCATTAAAGCTCATAACTCATTAGAGCTGCTTAAAAATAAAAAAGAATACCTTAAATGTGAGATTATTTGTTCAACTTCATTTGGAAAATGATAAAGATTATAATCATTTACTACTTAACACGGAAAATCATTGGTTATTTTTAAGTGTGTGCTTGAATAGATTTTAGGCACTCTGATTCAGTGGTGGAATGCCTGGAAGTTAATGACAATAATTTGTGGCTCAATTAAATTAATTAAAATTAAAAAAAAAAAAAAACTGAAAGCTTTCAGATTTTATATTACCTCTAAAGGGGCATTTTCTTAACGTTTTCTAGGTTATCTTTATTTATTAAATATTATGTTCTTTGCACTTAAACCATAAAATTCAGCAATATCGTAAAATATTCAAAATGTTTTTTTTCAATAAAAATGTTTTTTTTTTCTTTTTCGTACAGTGTTGCCATTGCTCGCTTTGAAATCATTGAGTTTCTTAATCAAAAATTCATTAAATTTCTACAAAATATGAAATAAGTACTAAAACAAATGGCAAATTCCAAATTTGGTTTTCCAGGTGGCCATATTCTGGTGGACACATGCATTTTTCAAAATTTGATGGCTCTAGGTCTTGTTTTATCACATTGCAAAAACATATATGCATTTATGCAGATTCTTCATTATTTAATTTCTTTAAATATAATACAGGGCAATAATATTTTGTGGCAACAACTTCAAAAGTGATTCGCCATTTATAGTGAATCGATGCAAAATGCCAAAACGAAATTAAGAGCCCTTTTGTGCTAATGCTCCTTTGGGCTAAAAATGACTTAGATTATATGACTAATGTATTTTCCAAATTCAGCAAAACCAGTTACATGCTATAAGCTGATTGATGAAATTTAACCAAAAGTAAGATATCCACTTTTATAGTTAAACTTTTTCTGTACAAACAAAACTTGCAGAGAAGAGAATGCTGTGTGTGTTTAGATTTTTCAAAATTCAAAAACCAGATGAAAATTTGTTCAACTCTTCATTCTGACCTCGGCCAAAGATATGAAGACATTCTTTATTTATATATTCCTGATTGGGTGTTGAATCCATTTGCAAATAGACTCACAATGCCATATGAATCCATATGAATATAGAAGCAATATATTGAATTATCCATAACTCAGCAGCTGAAACCAGTGTCGGAACAAGGATACCACAAATTCTGTTTGCAAAAACAGATATGAATGTTACGGTCTGTATTATGGGTCACTGTAGAGAAGCTGTTGATTGCTTTCCCATAACTTCCTGTCTTGTAAAACATGGATTTAGTGCAGTTATAAGCCTCATCAAGGAAAAAAGAAATTGACTGTTAAATTAGTTCTTATGGAGACATAAAAATTTACTCACAAACATAGAGACTAAATACTATTTTATATATCAAAATGTTTTATATTTTAACAAACATGTATATACTTAAAAAAGCAAATTTAAAGTTAAAATCAAAATGTTTTATATATATTTTGCTTACCATTTAAGACGTCAAAGTTAAACTTTTAATTTTTCGATTATGCAGACTTATTTCACTTGAGGGTTCATGGTTAGGTTTTTGCTACAAGAAGGGGTACATGGACATAATCAGTTTGGGAACCACTGTTGTAGAACTACTTTTTGATGTCTTGAGTTACTTTTGTTGATCAAGTTCGTTACTTTTCCATTACCGTTCTTTTATTTGATGCTTTAAAAAAATAAATAAAGGCCTTTTTTTACACTGAAATTACTTCTCATAAAATGACCTGATTAGTTTTCCCAAACATGATAACTTATTTATAATACAGTTTAGATACACATTTACTTTTTCATTAAGCCTTGCTACTATATAAAAGCAACAATACAGGAAATTTTATGGCTTTGTAAAAGAGGGTTTTTTATTATATAACTGTAAAATAATAACTTTAATGTAATGTATTCTCTCTAAAATTGCTTCATATTTCCGAATCATAGTTATTATTTTACATCATAGTAAAGCCTAACATTTGCTATGATCATAACATTCTGCTGTCATATGTTAAAAGATAATAAATTATTATTTTTGGAAATATTGTGTTTTTTTAAAATTGTTTAAGTCATATAATAAATACTGCATGCTGCTTTTTGATGTTTTGATATATATATGCGTGAACTTTATATTTCAATTCCTGATTGTTTCTTGATGTATTTAATATTCAATAACTAAAAATTGAAAAATGCAATTTTGTTATTTAACAATTTTTTTCAAATGCTGAGGATGTTAGCTTAAGTCGTAAATAAAGTAAAAAATTTCTCCTCCCTTCTTTTTGAAATTTTTATTTATTTTGCATTTTAAGAAAAAAAAATCATCTATTGTATACATAAACTATATAATGTGTAAAGCTAGGATAATTTGCATTATATTTTTATACATCTTTATATTATCTGTTGTGTGATTTATTTATTAGTTTACTCTTTATAGGTCAACCTAAAGGTGTAATAATCTCACACAGGAATATTGTATCATGCCTTGCATCATTAGAAGCCGTTTTTGGGGTAAAATGCTTTTGATTTAAAGTTATTTAAAAAATTGTTTTAAAAATATTTCGTATGCACATAAAAATAACATACATCTAAAAATGAGTGGTTCTCAACCAAGAAATAATTCCCCCTTGGCAATTATTGTAGTAAAAATCTTTTAACTTTTTTTAGAAAACCTGACAATTCCCTGTGACAAAATTCCTCAAAACTAATTGTTGAATGTGAAGTAAAATTATGCCAAATTAATTTAAAACTACTGCTGTCAATAGAGAAAATAACTATATTGCAAATAAAAAATAAAGGTGATGTATGTAAAGGAATTAAAAAAGAGATATATAAAAGTTATTACTCACTTATTATTAAGAAGTACTTTACATGTAGAACATCTATCATCCAACTAAAATAAAATGTTTAAAAATCTTACATAGTTCTAACTAGGAAACTGCTGCTCAAATGTCTGAAAAATGGTATTCTAATGAAAATGTACTGAAAATATCATAGGGTTAAATCGAAGTGTAAATGTATACAGTATATGAAGCATATTGATATGTTTCCTGCACAGCATAACTGCTACGGCGTTGAATAGTTTCAATTTCTAAGTTTGAAAATTTAGATATTTTAAATATAATTAGTTAATAAGTACTTGATGGTTATTTCTTTGCTTCCACCGATGTAAAGTATTTTTAATACTCGTAATGTGTAATGAAATATATTTTCAAATGTCAGAAAGATTTGAATGTAACATAATATGCATAATTACAGGAATGCAACATAATATGCATTCATAATTACAGGACATAATTATAGTAACATAACATAATTACAGGAATGTAACATAATATGCATTCTTAAATGATTTTTCAGTCAGTTAATGTTTTGGCAATTAACCTTTTATATCTGTATATTTTATTTTCTAGGTAGCTATTCCGAAAACTGGAACTTTGGTCTCATATCTCCCTTGTGCTCATATTTATGAAATGATTTGCGAAGTAAGTGGTATTAGTGAAAATTGAAAAAAAAAATCATTGAAATTCTTAAAAACAGGCTTTCATTTTGTTTTAAACTATGAAGTTAACTTTTATTCTCTCCATAGATCTTCTGCCTTTATAATAGTGGAAGAATTGGCTTCTATAGTGGTCACACAGCTTCTTTGCTGGACGACTTGGCAGAATTAAAGCCAACAGTTTTACCTTTAGTGCCAAAGCTGATGAATGTCATATATTCAGCGGTATAAACATTTTAAGCAATCTTGATTTTCTCTTTTTTTTCCAATTTCGGTATAGACATTTTCTAAAATATTTAATCTATCCATCATTTTTTGAAGCTTTTAACTTGTTTGTTTTCAAGTACAGTAATATCTTTTAAATGAAAGTAAATTTGTATAATTTATCAGAGTTTTTTAAAGGAAATCTTCAGGTGATCATCTTTTAGTTATTGCAGTAATCTTCTATATAAAAATATGTCTCTTATTATGACTGCCAAATAAATTAATTTTTTATACTTCGGGCAGAAGGCCCGAAGTTAAATTAATAAATTTCGGTGTTAAAAGAAAACTTTGGTTATAAAAGAAATTGCTGAAAATCCTTGATTTATTGATAGAAATGTATGATATTTATTTAAATGCAAAGAAAATATCTGCATATGATGGAAATGATGTCTTTTTATGATATATATATGTATATACATGCATCCGATTCTTGTTTGCTTATAGGTAAAGAAAGAGATTGGACCTTCAATTTTCAAGAGATATTTGCTTCGCTTAGCTCTTCACCAAAAAGAAAAAAGCTTAAGAAGGTTGACAATCAAGGTTCTATTATATATAATCTCTTCTGTTTAATTTCAGAATGAGAACATATTGATTCTGATATAGAATTATTTTGTTCATGTTATTTATTACATAAAGTAATTTTTATTTTCTGCAAAAAGAAATTTACTTAAAGTGAAAGTTTCTCACTTAGAATAATTACATTATTTTGATTAGCTTTCCATTAAATATAATTTGCGTGTGCTTTGATTAAAATGGATAATAACTTCATCATTATTTTGATAAACCTTATATAGTTAAAAATATGTAGGAGATCATAATTTATATGCTGTTGTCAGGGTATGGCCACATAACTGAAATATGTGTACACGAAAGTTATGTTGGTTCAATGAAAGATATATAAATGAAATTTAAGTTAGACTAATTAAAAATCATATTAAACATTACTTTTATGTAAAATCTTAAGAAAATAGACAGATGATGGAACTACTTACTTAAAGAAGCATATTCTATTTTAATTCATTAATTTTGATACTTACAGATTTTCTGAGCTGTACTATATGAATTATTTCATTAAAAATAAATTCTGTATTTAACTAGATAAATTTTTATGTACTGACTAAAGTAATTTATTTTATTTGAGATAGCTTTTTTTTTTTTAATTAGTTTATTAATTTGCCTTTATTGGATTTTTCAGAAGTGCCATGGTAAAATTTCATTATGTAATGTTCTCATTCAAATTATTCTTTGTGGTGTATGACTTTTTAGCGTTATAAAAGTGCCAAATGGAATTGCTAAAACTAGTTTACCATTAAGCTAGAATGCTTTCTTTTTAAATTTTTTCTCTGCTGTCCAATTCTTTTTCCTCTTCTGTTATTTCATTTGCATTTAATACTAATTATGTCAGAATTATGTAAGCCACAATCTTCAAATGTATCACCATTATCATGCTAACTCATGTAATCTTCATTAACAGCATTAAAATCAAAAGAAGGAATCTAGTTTAAATACTACATACAAAATTTGAAGAAATTTCTGCATGTATGAAACATTTTTTTTTTATAGTTTTAGACAATACTTTTTATTAAACTGTAACTGTGATGTTTATAATTTGTCAAGTGATAATTTCCATTCTTGATTACCAGCTGTATTCAGAATGTTTTGTAACATTTATTTGTAATTTTGATTATGTCTAAACTTCATAGCTGTAACTTGCTTATATAGTAAATTTGGGGGGGGTAAGCAGTGAAAGGAATTGCATATTGTGACATTGAGCTGAAAATTGGCTAGTGAAAACTATGTACATTTTTAGTACCCATCTTTTTGTCTAATTGTTTTACTCATTGCATAGACAATTATGAAGTAATTTTTATGTTTTTATCTTCAATGTATTTGTTAGGCAGGGACTTGAGCAATTTTGAAACAACAGAGGTTCTGAGAATTACCGGTTATAAATGATAATAACTTCTCTGATCCTTTGCATTAGCTCACAACATAGCAGTTAATTGAGATTTTTGTTTTTTTGTTTTGTTATGTCAAGATAGTATTTAATTTTTGTAATAATCTTTTGGGTAGAAATAAAATAATATCTTTTATGCATTTTATGTCTTTTTAGTTCTGCCTGTTTTTTCAGATGTGACTATTTCTGAGTTGAAGTTATTGATTCTCTTATTTTCTATTATGCTGTGTCTTATCATAAATTCATTAAGTCATGCTATTGAAAGTATGCAATCCATATTCAGTTTATTTATCATGTTCCTTTGTTGCCTCCCATGATTGGTGTTTCACTAATTGGTGAATGTTTAGCAGAATAGGGATTAAATCAAGGAGCTTTTGCTTTTTTATTTTAAAACGTAAGAAATCTCTATTCTCTTGTTTTGAAATTGCTGCAAGCAACAAAATATGTTTCATAAATATCAGCTTCAAACAGCTTTTACTCATTATTTGTAAATAAGTTCGATTCAACCAGTTATTTTGTTGTGCAATTGAGTTAAGTCATGTTTCCATAGAGCACTTATTTCCTCAGAAATTTAAGGCCATGCTGAAAGGCAGGTTTTTTTTTTTTTTTTTTTTTTTTTTTTTTTTTTCCCCTTCATTTATGTAGTCTGTCAATGACGGAGAGTTATTTTTCAAACATTATTAAAGCAATTGGAAGCACAGATTGAGTGCTCCTGTATTTATGTAATTGGTTTTTCTTTTTTTTAATTAAAAAATTATTTTTCTTTTTTAAAATTGAAGTATATAGTTTTTAAAATGTAGATATTTTTATTCTTTATTTCAGAGGTATTGTGTCAAAAAATACTTTATGGGATAAACTCGTCTTTTCAAATGTGCAGAAGCTTTTAGGAGGTTCTGCTCATTTTATATTTACTGCATCAGCACCTGTATCCAGACAAGTTATGCAATTTTTTCGATGTGCTAGTGGTTGTCTGGTAATATCATTTTTCTTTGCTTTTATATTTTAAATATTCTGCTCTATAGTTTTATAAATAAATGTTTTTAGGATAAAAATGTAAGCATTTGAAGTGCAAACTTATATATGTCTCACATATGTTATTCTGTAAAGAAATTAACCAAATTGTTCCTGATTTATATGTGTAAAAAATAAAGCACAGAATAAAATCTGAAACTTGAATGAGACGTGAAAACTGAATTGTATTTGTTTCAGAGTGAATCAAGTCATTTCTTAATGAAGATAAATATTTTGTGTATTTTACTAGGGTATTTTATTTATAATTTTGAAGTTACATGCTAAATTATGTTTTAAATTGTGTTTCCCATAATTTATTTAATCATGAGTGAATATTTAATAGTTTTAAAGAATCTTGTATCCTTAGATATGCAAAATTATTTTATTTTACATTAAAAATAGGAAATTTACTAATATTAAATTAGGATGATTTTCAGATTAGTTTTTGGAATTCATAGATTAAATTTCACTAACATTGGTACTCCTCTTCTAAGAGATTGAATTCGTAGCAAATTATTATATGTATTGTTGCGTGCGTACGGGTTCGTTATGAAATGAATGCACAAGTCCGATGAAAAATGAACAAAAATTTATTATTATCACAACAAAAATGCTTAAATTTTCTCAAATTATCATGCAGTATTACAATATCTCACAGTAGTAATCTTTTAACTACTCAAATGTCCAATAGAACGTAATTCAAAACAGCTAAAGAACGCTAATCCGCGAATTCGCTACAATCAACAACAGTAGTTTCTAAACAACAACAAACTAAGCAACTACTACGAACTGAGATGTTTTCCTCCTTTTATAAGATTTTAAAATCACGCGCTAGAATTTTCCAGTACTTTCGAAATCAAAAAGAGATATTTATTATTTAATGCACGCGCTCTGTATTTTCAATTTTCCGGCTTAGCTTTCTTTTAATATTCGTCACGCGCTGCACTGCGCGAGAAATAAAACCATTTAATTTATAATTGAACTAACATTAGCTTTTTTAAAATACCAAATTCGTAACACTGCCTCCCAAGGACTGCACGTCCCGGGGCAGTACAATCCCTGAAAAAACAGGAAGCTAATTACAACTGTGGCATAAACATTACATTACAATATCAAACAACATGAACAATAAATGCAATAACTAACTTAAACAAATCAAATGCTATCAAATACTAAATACAAAACAAATACAAATACAAATCAAAACTAAATGCAAATCAAATACATAAATACAAAATCAAAATCAATACACATTTAAAAACAAAAAGGACATGGTCTGATTACTATTACAATTATTTACATTATGTACTATGGCCATAGTAATGAGCTAACCTGTCGTAATGAACGACTTTTAGGTTTAGAGTCGAAGACTACGAATCCGAACCACGACGTCATTCAGCCTGTTTAGGACTGTATACGGGCCATCCCAAGGTGACTGTAATTTCAGGACAAAAGTCCTTTCCGTCGAGTCGGGTTCCACAACCACACCTTGTCTCCTTCTGGAACTGATGTTCTAGTAGCTCTTGTGTCGTAGCGGTTCTTCATTTTCTCCGTCGCCAAGTTGATTCGCTTTCGTGCAAACGGTTGCATCCCCTCAAACCCGGGCCTGGGATCTTGAATATATTCCTCAGACGATGAAGGAGCATCCGTAGGGCGACCAAAAATAGATCACAAGGCAGACGAAGGTCTCGAACCGAAGAGCATCTGGTGATGGAGAATAGCTGGTAGTCTTGAGTTTCCTTTCGACCCTGGTATGATTTCGGCGCTTCCCGAGCTCGATCTTTCGGACAAGGCGTCGACATTTCCAGGCGAGGATCCCTTTTGAGGATGGATAATCATGCCATCAGATTGCTGAAAGCAGCTTATTGTTTTTTTTGAAATCTAAGGAAAAATTGTATTTCCTTAAAAAAAGTCCAATCTGAGTATGCATGGATCTGTAATATCCGCCACATTATGCCGTGTGATGGTAGGCGGCACTTCCAAACGTGATGTTTACGTTTAACTTCCCAGTTATGTCGATCTTGTCACCAGACGCAGTCTGAAGGGTAACACAGGATGGCGTTCCAAATAAGTTTATCTTTAAACTGTTCAGCTAAATCTTTCCTAATGATGGTAACATTAGCTCCTGTGTCAATGATCATATTGCAAGGAAAACTCCATCGATATTCCCATTGATGGACAGTCCGTTATTGTTGCCACTCACTATAGAGATCTTAAGCGCTTTAAAACAGGGTTTTTCATTATCTGGCAACCTCCGTTCCTTGATTATGGTCATTAATTTGTTTCCTGCGTCGTTGCTCAGAAATTGTCTCAATTTTTCGTACCCTGGGGTTTGTTCTGCAATTCTTTCGTACGTGGCCTTCAGCTCCACAGTTCCAGCACTTTGGTTTCTTGTCAGTCCTTTTCTTCCCGTGGCATTTAATTGTCTGTTTAAATCGTATGCCTTATTTTCCGTGCTCTGGGGAGTTCTGCAGTTCCTTCGTAGGTGGCCTTCAACACCGCAATTCCAGCACTTTAGGGTCGGTTTGTTTCACCACTATTCTGTCTTAAAAAGCATTCACTGGTCTTTGTCAACTCATCCGTTTTCATTATCCATGCCCTGGGGTGTTCTGCAATGCTGTCGTAAGTGACCTTCAGAACCACATCTCCAACATCTTACAGCCATTTTGTTTCACTTGCTCCGTATCAAAGCATCGACTTGTCTGGATAAATCATCTAAACGAGCCATCAATTGGTCCCCTGGGTCGTGGACTCGCCACAGCTCTGACTGGGGTTGGTAGCGATCTCCTAAGAGTTGCTTGCTGGGCTTGCCTCCAATTTCACGGCGTACAACAGAGCGCTTTTTACATCCCTTTACATCCGCCATTCATAGTGCTTTCTGTATTTCAGGGTATCCGAATGCATCGATGAAATATTGCAGCGACAGGATTTCCCTTGTTTCTCTCGGGCACTCCGTTAAAGGCAAGGTGGGACAGCCTTTCAACATCCGTGGCGAGCTCCTGAAGTATTTCGGTGGGCTTCTGCTTGACGGGATTTTAGTTGAAGCCTGCTGTAGTCTTTTAAAACACTTCTCTCCAAAGCGCAGCTCCAATGCGCCGATAGAGCTTCAAAGTCTAGTCTTTGGTTTTCAGGGAAGCGTCTGCCAGGATATCCGCTGGCGTCTGCTCTCAGAGAAGCGGCGAGATGACAGGGCCTTAGCTTGGGAATCCCATCCATTCGCATCCGAAACGATAGAAAATTGGGTTTTATACACTTCCAGGATGTCTTCCATCATATGTGCATAGCTTCAGAGAGGAGCGAGCAGGCAAGATAGAAATTGAAAAACCTTCAGAATTGCTTCCTGCCATTTGCTATGCACTTCTTTAGGGCCTGTCAAACTTCTTTGGCGACGGCAGCAGAAAAACCCTATCATCAATTTGGGAATTCGATTGTTGTTGAAACAGAACCAAACTCTCTTCCTTTTTTCTTTGACAGAATCAACTCTGTAAACCTAATTGTTGTTCCACTGCCGAAACTCTGTCTTCTATTTGCTCTTTCACTGAAAAAACTTTTTCTTTCAATTTGTTCCAACTTTAATTTCAACCGCGTTCTGCCCCCATTCTGCCTCCCAAATTTATTTTTTCTATTAGCAGGTAATTCTTTTTCATCTTTCTTGGCTTGCTTCAAATTTTCCTGTCCTGCTCAATCTTTTCCTAATTAGATTTCATATCTTCTTTCAACGAGGCATAGGCTAAGATCTTAATTGCTCTTCCATCGCTCTTGTTATTGGCATTCAAACCCCACTCTGACACAAAATATTGCAGCGTACGAGTTCGTTATGAAACGGTAGGCGTTGGATGTTGCTGATCGGGTGATGAACGCCGGTATCGATTCTATGTTTTCTTTCCGTCGTTCTTTCGACATCGGTCGAACTAGTTTGACACAAATAGAATCGATACGGCGTCATCACCATAAGCAAATTCCAGATGCCTACCGTTTGCCTAACCAGGAAGAGGAGAACACTTTAAAGGATATGGAAGAAGCGATGGTTATCGAGCCTTAGCAAGTCCATGGGCTTCTCCCCATCATTCTTGTCCGAAAGAAGACGGCCTCACAAGATTTGCGTTGACTTCGTCGGTGAATGGGTTACGAAGAAAGACAGTTAACCCTCGTCCTAGAAATTGATGACCATTTTGGACACTCTTTCTGGAAGGCAAGTGGTTCTCAACACTTGATTTAAAGAGTGGGTATTGGAGGTAGAAAAAAACAATGATGACCGAGAAAAAAGACGGCATTTACTACGGGAAAGGGCTTTGGCAATTCAAGGATGCGTTTGGACTGTGTAATGCCGCCGGAAACATTCGAACGTTTTATGGAGGAATGTTTTGAAAGCCTTCCTACGAAGCCTGCCTGATAACCTGGACGACATCATCGTCGGAAAGAGTTTGAAGAAAACATTTAGAAAATCTTAGAAAAAGGTGTTCAGAAACTGAAAGAAGCCAATCTAAAGCCTGGGTCCCGCTAAATGCAAATTGTTTACGAAAGGAAGTGACTTACCTGGGACATGTCATCTCTGCAGAGGGTGTGCGCACGGATCCTGAAAAGGTATCAGCGGTTTTAAATCCTGGAAACGTCCCGAAAAAAGTGTCCATCAGCTGAGAAAGCTTCCTAGGGCCTTGGCACCTCCTATAGGAGATTCGTGGAAGGACTTTTCTTCATCGCAAGACCCCTTTCACAAAGCTGACAGAGAGCAACCAAAAGTTCTTGTGGAAAAAGAATGCGACGATGCATTTAACAAATTAAAGGAGGCTTTAAATCTCCCCACCTGGAACCAAAAAATTGTTGCGTCGTACGGGTTGTTATGAAATGAATGCCTAAGTCCGATGAAAAAATGAACAAAAAAAAAGTTTATTATTATCAACAAAAAATGCTTAAATTTTCTCAAATTTCATTGCAGTATTACAATATCTCACAGTAGTAATCTTTAAACTACTCAAATGTCCAATAGAAACGTAATTCAAAACAGCTAAAGAACGCAATCCGCGAATTCGCTACAACAAACAACAGTAAGTTTTCTAAAACAACAAACAAACTAAGCAACGAATACGACTGAGATGTTTTTCCTTTTATAAGATTTAAAAATCAGCGCTAGAAATTTTCCCAGTACTTTCTCGAAATCAAAAAGAGATATTTTATTTATTTAATCACGTGCCTTGTATTTTCAATTTTTCCGGCTTAGCTTCTTTAATATTCGTCACGCGTGCACTGCGCGAGAAATAAAACCATTTAATTTATAATTAAACTAACATTAGCTTTTTAAATACCAAATTCGTAACAGTATATACAATTATCAGAATGATTAGAAAATAATCCAGGATTTTGTCTAGCAGAAGGGATTCTGAAATCAAATTTGTTGCTGATTGTTACAATGTGTCTTATTCTCTTTAGGTCTTTGAAGCTTATGGGCTTTCTGAAGTAGGTGCAGCAGCTATGACATTGATGTCAGAATATGACAGTGGTAATTATTTTATTTACGTTTATTGCATTTTCTACATTGAAATCGATGTAACTGATACAGTTTCATAGAAGAGTTAAATATCTAAAGTGAAATGATTTTTATCTGAGGTATTTCTAATTTTAAAAATTTTAAATAGTTATTAAATTTGAAGGGTTTGTTACACTTTTTCAAATATAATTTAATAACCTTTCATGGAATTGATTTAGGATGTTTGTTAAATAGTTCTATTACTTTATTTAGGTCATTTTTGTAGAAGAGTTAATAGTAGATATCTCCCCTCAGTTGTAACAGATGCCAAAAAATTCTTATTAGATGTATTCATAAGTAAATCAGGTGATTCGGCTTTCTTTAAAGTGATACGTTTGGCATTAATGTTTGTTCTTATAACAATGAAGTACAGATCAAGGGCTTTTGTGAGACTACTGTGTAGAAAAAAAAAAAAAGAACTTGTGTTCCTTTTTAATCATCCATTAAATTCCTAGCTCTATTCTGTGTAAATTATTCATTATAAAATAAAAATTGGGAAGTTGTTTTTCAATTAGAATCATAGTGAAATTATTAATAATGCTTAATGAATATAATTTCAATGGTCTTAATGATTGAAAAATCTGTATGTGGATTATTTATCTTTAATGGAAAATAAATGAAAAATATTACATTTGATTCTTTTAGGAATAAAAAACCATTGTTTACTATGAATATCTTGCAGTTTAAACACTTATTCAAAGTAAGCGTTCTATAAATTCTATGAATGTTCCCATAAAGTATTAAAAGTTATATTTCTATAAATTCGCTTCAGAATTATTTGCAAGTAAATGGCTTAAATGAAATTTTTGAAGTTATAGTGTGACTTTTTTTATGCCTTTAGTTTTATTATTAATGTTGTGTATGTATGTGCTATCAAACAAAGTGCATTAAAAATGTAGAATTATATTTCTGAGCTACTATATTTAGTTGATTCTGAAGCACTACTTTGAAATGTTCTGCATTTATTTTATTTTTAAATAGGCTTTGTAGGTCCTCCACTTCCAGCAAACCATATAAAATTGGTCAGTGTTCCTGAGATGTTTTATGATGCTGATAATAATGTTGGAGAAGTATGTTACAAATATTATCTGTTTATAAAACTTTAAATTTCGTGAAAAAAAAATCAACTTCCTATTGACTGTGTTTAATTTAATTGAGCCTTTTTCAATAAAAGTTAAGCTTTTTTATTGCAGAACAAGAAAAATTTAGTATCACAAATATTCTGACTAAATTAAAATTTCTACAGGAAATAGAAAAAGGAGAGGGAAATATGTGGGATAACAGTATTGATTACAGATGATGTCAGAGAATTTGGGGAATTGTTTTCATCCACATTTTTAGGATATGTAATCTGAAAAATGCAAACATTGCTAAATCGTCTATTAAAAATAAATTGCTAAACAGCCATTAATTTTCTGTTTCTCATCAATTCCTATCAAAATACAAGAATGATATAAACAAAAGTATTCTCTCCGCTTTGAAGTGTGTTGTTGATGCTTATTTAATTTATATAACCATGTGAACTTATTCCCCAAATTAAACTGCTTAAAAATAGAGGATTATTAATGGCTATTTGGTTCCTAATTATAATATGGTTATTCATCTTTTCTGTGTTTTTTCAACTGTTGTCAAATTAATTGTAATTGTCTCTGATACTGTCTCAGTAAATTGGGAATTTAGTATGTATCTTTGTTGCATATATGCATGACAGTTGTTTTATTTGTTCATTTATTATGCTTTTTTAAATGCAGATATGTATTCGGGGTCCAAATGTGTTTCTTGGCTATTATAAAAATCCTGAAGCTACTAAAGAAGCTTTTGATAAAGATGGATGGCACCATACAGGAGATATTGGCCAGTGGCTGCCTGTAAGTAATTTTGAAGTTTCCTTTATTATGAATCCTGCCTTTATTTTGTGAATTTTCATTTCCTAATCTTTTTTTTTTTTTTTTTAATTCTCCTAGAATGGCACACTAGCAATTATTGATAGGAAAAAGCATATTTTCAAGCTGGCCCAGGTAAGGAATAGATTTCTTGTTTTATAAATCTTTTAAATTAATTATTTTTGTAAGAATTTGTTTTAAAGAATATGTTAAATATAAAAACATACAATATGTGATATAAATTTATGCTTATGATCTTTTGAGCTGTTTGTTATAAAAACTTATAATCTCTGCTCTTAAAATTGTATTGCATTTTCAAGGATAAGTAGTTTGTTAGACATTATATTAGTACTAGATAGTAAGGCATGTTAATAAATTTTGTATTTACAAAGGAAAGACGGGATTTGTCTTTACTCTTCATTGTGGTAGCACTCATAATAATGAGAGAAAAATAAACAATGATGATGATAAAAACATAAAAAATGATGAAGTTAGCAAATCATAGAAAATTCCTTTTTATTCTTGCAGTTTCTTTGGTTCCAGATGATGCAGTATTTTCCCTAAATTTCATATGCAGTATACAATGCTCAGAGTAGTTCTTATGCTTGAAATAACAATAACTACTACTTCTGCCTTATTTATTATTACAATCAACTATTAATATCATATCCAAGTGTTATTTCATTGCCTTTTGCAATACAGTTATTTCTGTTGTTTTTCATTTGTTTATCCTGTGAATTTTCAGGAGTTTCAAGAGTTATTTTTAAGTCTGCATACAGTATAGAAGAAAATAAAAGATAAAGAAAAAAAAAAAAAAAAGAAGAAGCTTTACAAAATGTTAAAAGTATTTTTCTGTGCATAAAGTATAAGCATTGTGAGCTGTGAAAACATTTTCAATTTCTTGACTGAGGCAATATTCAGCCAAAAAGTAAAGAGTCTGCCTTTATTATTATTATTAAAAATTAGCTTTTTACTGTGATTTATTCATTTAGAAAAGAATAAATGTTACTTACTTACAACATGTAGTGGTTTCCCAGCTTAATTATTTTCCTGCACTCATTGTTTTGTCTTTCCTATTGAAAAATTATAGATAAGATTGAGTTTCAACTGTGTATATAATTATTTTTTTAAGATGATAATTTTATTTCAGGCTTTAAATTATTGTTTCAGTCAAGTACTTCAGTAATGATCAAATAACATTTTATATAATAAGAGCATTTAACTTACTCTGAGCAAGAAAAGGAAATCATTGGTTTTGTTAGCACTTGTAAATAACTTGTTGCATTTTTAATAGTTTCACTCATGAGAGAATTTAAAATTCTATGCTTTGATATGAAGTTAGACAGCAATCTTAATATATTTTAAGGTAATAAGTTTTATGAATATGTGTTAAAACATTTACTTTGATTTAATCTTCTATGTATTTATATTGTATCATGTATCTTAGGGTGAATACATTGCACCTGATAAATCAGAAAACGTCTATGTTCAAAGTCACATAATATCACAAGTCTTCGTCGATGGATTTTCTGATCAGGTAATAGAAAATAAACAAAATAAAGCAATTTCTGCATAATACGATAGTAATAAAATTATGTTTTTAACTATATGGGTATAAATGAGGAGGATTTAAGTTAGTATTATATATAGTTTCTTTTACAGTTTCATTTTTTGGCATTAAAGATGAAAGCATCATTAAATCAATTCCTATTAATGCAATTCTGTAGCACAGTGTAATATGAAAAGATTTCATATGTGTAATTAACCGCTTTATTCAGTGCTGAAAATATGCAAGCAAATTGTGCTTATGTAAGATGAAGTATATGTAAACAATTAGAAAGCAGAATTGTTCTTCCAGTTAAACTTTTCCTATGATTTTCAAATCATAATAGGCTGTTTTTAATGTTTTTATGTAGTAAATGTAATATTAAGTAATGTATTGTGATATCTGATGTAGCATTTTATATAATTTTGCGTACTTTGTAGATTTTAGAAGCATAAAAATCAAAGATTATTGTTTGATCACATTGCTATTATCATAGCTAACATATTAACAGAATATCATTATTCTTTTAATTTTTAGCTTATAAAGGGCTAGAAACACTTCCAGATATTAACTTGCTAAGCAATGCGAACAGGGCCGGATTTACGTATGTTACACAAGCTATAGCTTAGGGCCCCTCCAAAATTAAAATATAGTATAAATAGTATTAAAATATATTATAACAAACTTATAAAGGACCCAATATCTCAAATAGCTTAGGGCCTTATCAAGTCTAAATCTGGCTCTGAATATGACTGCTTTTATCCAGTGGTGAAATATGACCTGATATATATTATGTTGTTATTTGAATTATTGTATTCTCTTGTTTTCTTTAATGATCTGAATGTGATCCTAGTAAGTGTAAACAAAGAGTAGAGTAACTAATTTTGCCAATTTAGCTAATATTTTCCATTTAAGCACAGCTAGCTGTTCATGAGCAATTCAGAAGAGCTCAAGTAGGTTAAGTGATCTTTACGGTGACTATGCAGATGCAAGACATTCATTCCAAGCACTTCAAAATTTTTTGATCAATAAGTGTGAAACTTTTAAATCTATATCCCATTAGCAATGTAGCATGGTGCATTTTAAATTTTATAAACATCTCTAATTTATTTACTGTTCCATTAAAAAAAATTATGAAAAAATCAAGCCCAAAGTGTGAAATTTTCACTAACTAAATTCGGCTGTTATAAGATAGTAGCGTACACTCTGTATAAGGAATATATGAAGTGATATTGTGCAAGGTAGTTTAGTTCACATAGTGCAAATTGAATTAAACCATCTTTTGGCCATTGGATGCAATGTTGTATTTCTCTGATCAGAAATAGATGCCCCTTCTTATGCCATAACCAACTTAATTACTTATTTTTCTCACTCTTTGACTCAGCTATTTTCCTCTTTCAAGATGTTTCTGTAGGATTAATGTTTGCAGACTTGCTACATGCTTTATACAGTCATGCATAGTGCAACATGCTTATTCTTCAAGTGTTTTAGCATAGAAGTGAATACCTTCCTTTACGGTATAAGAAACCACTCGCTCATTTAACTAAGCATGGTTCCTTGGAAGACTCAGGCAATTTATTGCCTCATCTAATAACTCGGGTGAACTCATCTGAACTTGTCGTCCAACTCAGGTGAAGATTAAAGCAACCTTTTTATTAAATCTTCAAACTTAGTAGAAGCGCATATTGTGCTTACAAATAAGTTCCTGCTACTCGCAGGAATTCAGTTAACAAAATGTAAAGTAAAAATTTTTGTAATTCTTACTGGAATTCACAAGTCTTATCAATCAAGCTTTCGCTCGGGATTCTACAAGGGTGATCATACTCACCTAACAAAAGACTAATGCCAGTCTCAAATAACTTGTTAGAGCTGGGTGAGGAAATATAAATATCAACATCACTACCAGAACTCTCCTTCCTAAGTTTCAAAAACTGTGTTATAGTTACATAGGTAATTTGCATCCTCGTGGGAGTCTATTGAAATTACGGATAAGGTAATAAAATAAATGATTTAATGAACATAAATCTTGCAGTAGGAAAGGAGAAAAAATAGAGACAAGTTTTCAATTACCTTCTTCAATTTCATTTACTATAAGAGTTATTTTAAATCCAAAATATGACAGAATGGAATATTCAAATATTATCTTTAGAACTGCATTTAAAAATATCTAAATGACTGAGACCAATGTTTTCAAACAAATTAGAAATACCGGAATTTCTGAAGTTATTACTTTAGAATATTTACTTTAATAATGGTGCTGAACTTAAGCTTGAGGACAAAAAAATAAATAAATAAATAAATAAATAAAAAATAAAAATAAAAATTAAAAAAAAAAAAATAAAAATAAATAAAAAAAGGCTACTTTCTTGCCATAGTCTTTAATAATGAAATTCTTTCACATTCTTGATACAGACAGTTCTTTTTTAAAATAATGATTATTATACCAAATTTCTTTGTAAGGTTATTCTGGAGCAATTGATTTTTAAGTTGTTAAGCTGTTTTATCAAAATATATTTTGTTACTTTTATGAGTGAGAAAAAGCAGGTTTAAAATTAGTCATTTTTTGCATTACTTTTCAGTTTTGTTCTAATTATATGTATAATCAAAAGTAATTATTGCATGATTGTTGAGAGCTACAATTTATGATTGATAATGCAGTGTATTCTAAAATGTCATGCAATATTCATAAATTTTTATATGACGTCGTAACTTTTACATATATTATATAATATATGATTTATTAACTTGGCAATCATTGCTTTCAGTTCTTGTGTTATGGTTGAATCCACTATAATTTCTTATGATTTAGGAATTTGCAGTAGCAGTTGTTATTCCTGACCCCAAACCATTTTTAATTTGGACAAAAGAAAATGATTTTACAGAATCCAATCTTGAAGTTTTATGTCAAGATCCAGTATGTACTCTAGGCTTTATTTTTTTTAAAAATTCCTATGTTTATATTTGCACAAAATAAAACTTTTAGAATATTATATTAAAATGCTATTTGTAATTTTAACTTGTTTCTTAATAGATGTAATATTTATTAATTTAGGCAGTTAGAAAGGCTCTATTAAGTCATATGTTGAAATTTGGGAAAAAGAAGAATTTGAATTCACTGCATCAGGTATGAATTAATCAATTACTATTTTTAAAATATAAATTAAATGAATTACATTATTGCTATTCAGAATTGTGTGATAGATTTTTTGTAATGTCTCCATCTTATTATTTTTTTTTCCTTTTATTTTGGAAAAGTATATTTTAAATAAATTTTCATTGTTCTTCCAACAGTATTTGCAAGTGTGTTTTTATGTTTGTATTTCAGATATATGAGCATTTCTCCATTTTGTGTACTCTACTTTTGTTTCCATTTCTAATTGTAAAATATAGTTACATGAGCAATAATTGTCTTAAGATTGCATTGATTATTATATTGCTAAATATCGGGTAATGGGAAAGAATGAAAATATACCAAATTAAATAAATATAATTAAAAAGAGAAGCATGCCAATGTGAAACTTTGAAAGTTTGTTAAAACAGCAATTTAATTTTGGTGTAAGTTTTTAATTAAAACTCTTTTCTATTTCGAGGCTATGTTTGATTGCCTATGTTTTGACCTATGTTTGATTGCATTGAAGTCAATAGAGTTTTAAATAAAAACTTATGTCAAAATAAGGTTGCTGATTTGCCTAATTTTGAACTGAATGTAGCTAAAAATTTTCTGCATAGGAATCGAACTTTGCTTAGGCAAGATAACTAATACCTGCATAGTAAAAATTTAAATATGGAATGAATGCAGTGTACTTTAGTAAATAAAATTTTATAAGAATGTTATCATTAAATTATTTAAAATGTGATTTTCCTGAAAAAATAATATTAATAAAGTAGTTGTAAGCTATTGCATTTATAAATACATGAAAGTGACATATTTAAACTGTAAATAAGAAATTATTTATTATTAAAGGTTAGTTTACTAAAAAAAAAAATACTTGGAATTCCTAAATATAAAAATTGAAATTTTCTTGATACCCCCTTTTTTTTAACTATCATGTAGTGAGAAGTAGTATTCAGCTGTTTTTTAACCTTTTTAATTATTCTAAAGGGGAAAACTAATAATTATGTACTGTTTCAAAATACTTTTCTAAATCCGATGAAACAGAAGATGCATAAACGCTGGAAAAAAAAAAGATTTATATTATAAATACTCATTTATTTTTAATTGGAAATTCCATAATTTGGGATAGCTGAATTTGGCTGCAGGGCCTACAGAGGAATTCAACTTATAAGTAGCCCAAATATTAACAGCCATCATGATTAAAATGTAAGACACACCTATGTTGAATGAAATGTGCTATTTCTAGCACAGTGTCATTGATAGCCATAAGCTAAGGAAAACCTTTGTTTTTTTACTTGTATTTGTCTAATTAATTAGTTTTATTTATTTGAATTTAATTATGAAAGAAATATGTAATTTGCCTTTAAATGTATATGTGTAGGCAAATTGTGGTTAATATTTGTTATAGGATTCTGTAGCTCTCATCAAAAGTATAAGTCAGCCTTTTAGGTTAAAGTCACAAGTACGTGGATTATTATTAGCAAGTTTTTAGGTTAGGAGGTACTTTTCCGTTTCGCCGGCGCAAATCTCGCCAAGCAGACTTTGTTGGCGACAACATACAGTATACACATAAAAAATGTTAATTCTAAGAATTTTTTTTTTTTATTTTGAAGGCATAAACATTTTAATATGGTTTAAATTTTGTAAAAATCCAATAAATAAAGACAATAAATTGTAAAAAGAAAAGACATTATTAAGAATTTACTATGATTTCATGGTTCAAAATCCTGATCGCCGGTTCGTATCACGTGACCCAAGTGATTCTCATCTCACGTAAACTACGTACTAAAATCTAATTCTCTCAGTAATTATCTACATTAATTTCAAGTTAAATCTTAATTTGGAATAACAAGTTTAAATGCAAGAATTATTTCAATTCGTACAAATAGCTACTCAGAAATTATGTAAAAACCGCAGTGCTTTACTTCGCTAGTGCATTCTCATTAGAATTGATGAATTTAACACTTGATTTCGCCTTCGGATGAGCGGTGTAATTGCGTTCTAATTGATTAATTACCGTGAATTGTCTTAGGGGATAAAATTTAAATATGTGTAAAAATTCTATATTATGTATGCCAGTATTGAAAGAAACATCTGATAAGAAATGGCTTCAACTTGTTTTGAAACTGAGACGTAAAAGGTTACCAGCGAAGATATTCCGTCTGGCATCAGTGAAACCATTATTGGCGACTTTATCGTTTGCGCCGGCAAAACGGAAAAGTACCGGTTAGGACTGTTCTTGGATTAGAATCTTCCTAGACTAGCATAAGTATTTAGGTTAATTTTACATGTATTTGTTTGCAACTCGATTCATCTCTATTGAGGCGTGTTTACATCTTAAAGGGAAGGACTAAGCTATTTGATAAAAGCAAACACACAAGAATCATCTGCTTAAAGCAGGAATGCCTTCATAAAGGTCTTTCTACGGTAAACTGGCTTGTATCCATGTTACATATGGGAAATATTCCTGTGCACTCAGCCGATTTTCAGAGATTTTAACTCATGTCGACCTATTAATCTTCAGTGATCTTTTCCACTCTGACACTGATAGGCAATAAAAGAAAGAAAAATCCATAGATTATTAGAGTTTGATGGTTTTTTTTTTTTTTTTTTGAATAACATAAGCTGTTAAACTTCTTGGAACATGGGAGAGCATATTTACTGTAGTCATTCTTTTAAATCACAAACATAGTCTTTATGTTGGCCATCCCAGTCTCAAAGGGTTAATGCAATGGCATTGATGAATTTCAAGAAATGCGCTGTAGCACATAAGTATTGAACTGCCTATAATTCATTCTGTTGACAGCTTGAATAAAGTGTTGTGTTATGAAATTAATTATCTTTTAAATGTTTACTTAGGCCATGAAAAAAAATTGCTTTTAATTCAACCAGAGTAACATGGTGTAGATCAAAATAAGTAAGCCTATGTCTTTTAAGATGTATTGGGAATAGATATGAACTTTGGTACCTAAATACCAGCTCTTTGATTTATGATGATGTTACATTCAGATATATCCCTAATAAATTGACAATACTTTAGTTAAAATGCATCTACTAATATACCTAACTTTTTGAATATCATATCTTGTACCAATTTAAATGTGCCTAAAATATCTACATCATCAAGAATTGAGTAAAATAGTTTAACACAAGGCTTATTTTGTAATCAAATTTTAAATAGTTTTTATAATTTATATAGTGTATTGATCTTGCTACTTGTACTTGTTCAGATTTTAGTAGGCAGGGTGCTGTTCAGAAAGATAGCAAGTTCTGAAAAGTCTGTCAGAATACCCAACAAAATGAAAATGGAGTATTGGCCAAATAAAACTGAATTCTGTTCAATAAGAAATTATGAATGAACATTTCTTTGATTGGAAACCTGAAACTCATGTTCCTACATTTATGTTTGTATGATGTTTAAAAATCCACATTTAAAAAGTTACATGTAGGGCTGCACATAGCAAAAAATTTTAATTAATAACACTGAGGGTTTTTTTTTCGTTGATAGATAGCCTTTCAAATTAACTATTGTGTGGAAAATGGCTCTGTAACTGACGTTTTTTCTGCGAGGTCTATATAATCATATAAGTTTAAGATGTTTGTACTAATAGGTGGCCTTAACTTTTTTTTTTTTTTTTTTAATCTGCATTATTTGGATTTGTTGTGATTAGTTATAGAAGCGGTGATGAAGTGCACCTACCATTCTGCATTGTCACATCAGAGTGCAGCAAATCTAAAGAGGAATTCTAAGAGGGGAAAAGCAGTATCCCATCTGTCATGACATATGCATTTTAAGTTTTTAAGTAAAGATAAAAATTTTAATGGAGTCAGAGGGAAGTCTTTGATGAGTATTGTAAAGATATTTAATAATGCAATCTTTCTTAAATTTCCTATACATTTCTATACATTATTATATCTATTTAATAAAATAATAATAATAAAAGAAAAATTTTCTAGCAGAATACAAAAAAGGGGGGGGGCTACCAAATGAGCTAAAAGTAATGAGATCATTTCTTGTTCCCAAACATGATTTCAGAATTCAAGCAAAAAAAAAAAAAAATGCATGTGTGTATGTGCTAAAATAAAATAAAGTATGCTGCTTGGAAGATTACAACAATTACAACAAAGCACATTTAATGATAATAAAATGTAAATTTGGTATATTTTATTTTGTAATTCAAAGAAAATATCAAGGAATTGTGAACTAGGTTATTTTATGATCAAAATAAAAAAAGGAGCTCAAGCATTAAGTCATATTTTGCATATTTATTTATTTTTGGTATAATTAAATTTGAAAACATTTGATTATTTTGCAGGTTGGAAATGTATACCTAAGTCTTGAACCTTTTAGTCAAGAAAATGGCTTATTAACTCCTACTATGAAGCTTAAAAGATCAGTGGCAAGAAAAAAATATGAAAAGATTTTTGAACAAATGTATGAAGAAGGAAACTTCAAGAAGAATATCAATTTATAGCACAGAGTAGGAGAAATGATCTGTGTGTGCCAAGAATTACTCTGTTTCGAAGCATTAATAATTAATTTTATAACTAGTTTTTAAAGATATGTATAAAAAGCATGCTAAGATAAGAGGGAAAAATTGTTACAGAGAACTTTTTATGATCTGACTTGTAATTAAATTACAGTGTGAGATTTTTTATGAAGTTTGCTATTTTTCTATTCAGAGCAATTTTAAAAACAAGCTGAATGTTTCTGGATATAAACTTTTAAATAGCAATGTATTTTATCAGTATTCTTTCTTATTCTTGGAGGTATTTCTGATTATTAAAAGTTATGTATTTTTTTAACATATTTTTTAGAAATAAAGTAATTTACACCAATTTTTTTCAAATTCAATCATTTACATCTAGTATTTAAATAAAAAGTTATGAATACCTAATTGAAAACTTCTGAGAAAATTCATTAAATGTTTGCAGGTGAATTTTGACCTTTAGTGAACAGTTCAGCGATTTTCAAAGTTTATATATTGAAATAAAACACAATTTTAGATTGGCCTTAGTTTCATTAGAAAAGGGCGATAGCACATGATTGCTCATCTTTTAGAAACAAAAATATTGTTGCTTCTTAAGGGAAGATTTCCACCTCTTGAAGAGAGACACATTTTCTCTCTTGAAATGCATGAAACTTTCATATAAAGCCAAAGCTGAATTTTCCTTTTCTTTTATATATCAAAGTATTTTAGCATTTAAAAGCTGTGCTGTATAAAAAAGCTTTTCAAAGAAATACAGTCTCATTGGTTAAATTAATGTGCCTTTATTTGGATGAAGTCTAATGTTCCTGTACCAATTGTAATCACCATCTTAATGATGTCCTTTATAGTCTGTGTATTAGTAATCCACAACAAGGTTCACTGAACACTGGTAGTTCGGTCCGAGGTTTGAATCTCATGTATAACATATATACAAGCTAATTTCCCTTAAAAAATCCTTCACAAAGGCATCCTTTTCCTTAGGCAGATAACCCTTAAGGCTGTGCCGTAATCACATAATCATAAATATTTATTTTTCACAGAAGTTAGTTATTTAAAGGCATATTAAGAAATCCAAGGTGTATAGGCTTTTCTAGATTTCTAATGTTTTCCTATTCCTGGAATTTTCATGATGGATGTGATGCTGCAAGTCTTTGCTTAAGACCACTCTTTCAAATTGTCTTTACTCAGTTGTAATTCTTGGGGTGTTTCAGAGTTATTCACTGTGTGAATCCCACTATAATGAATTTTTAAGTGAGTTTTTTGTTCACTGCATATGATTTAATAATAAAAACACATACTGTTAGAAAAATTAATTGATGGATTATAAAAAACTTGACTAACTTCTCACACCCAAAAGATGTAAGTAATCATTCTACAGTAGGCCAGTGTTCATATTATAAGTTAGTATTAATTTGTCCAGTTATTAGATGTTTGTGAAACATAAGAGTGTGAATAGGGAAGAAAGTGTTATAATGAAATTTCTTATGAATGAAGTTGTAAAACTGATTGAAATTTACAAAGACACTATAGGAATGAATCTCTTAGCTGTAGTAAAACATGGGAATCATGCAAATAGTTTAACCCTTTGCGGCATGGTGAGTCAATATATGACCCACCTAATTAATATTGATTGTCTCAGTTAGCAATTTCCGTTAGAAATTTTCTAATCTTTTAAAAATAATCTATTTTAGTTATTGTTTTTCTCAGTAGATGTCACTATTATACCAGGGCTTAAGTTTATAAGCAAAAAATATTCAAAATAGGATCACAAAAGTGATATCCATGTATCTCGCATTTTTCAATATTTTAAAAATTTTGGTATACAATTTATGATATGTATGATTCTTTTTAATATTCAAAGGTATTTTTTTATTTTCAAAAATCTTAATTGGATTCAATATTTTATAACATTAATTTTGCAGTTGAAATAAGTGGGTTAAAATTTGTCCCACCACACACTTGAATTTCCGCTCAATAGATGGCAGCACTCACGATTATTTTTTTTTCTTTTTTGCATCTACTTTTTTCGTGATTGCGCGCGCTTTTACATCCGTTGTATGCTCTGATGTGCTAAAATGTCTAGGAAAAAATTAACAACTCAGGAAGCTTTGGATCTTTTTGCTGAATTGCCATCCGATTGCGACTCAAATGCTTCAGATGTCAGTTCTGATTCAGATGAAATTGAAATCCAGGAGAGAATAACTGAGGTTGAAGTTATTGCTGAAGAAGAAAGGGAAGTAGTTATAATTTGTTTCGCTTTTTAAAGACACAGACCCATCTATGCATGTGGCACTGTAAATATGAATCGGAAGTATCTACCCACAAATTTATGTCAAGAGAATATATAGACTTTTCAGTTAGCGATGATTCAATTTATTGCATAAAATGGAAGGATAAAAGATCCGTTTCTATCCTGTCTTGCTTGGAAAAGGCAACTGAAATGAAAGAAATTAATAGAAAAGAACGAGATGGAAAGACAAAAAAAAAAAAAAAAAAAGTACTGTGCCCAAACAGCATTATTTCATACAATAAGAATATGGGATATGTCGACTGATTGATCAACTGAAAGGACTGTATGAAATAGACCGCAAAAGCAAGAAATGGTGGCACATGATTTTTTTTTTTTTTTTTACTTTTTAAATGCATTTATTCTATTTAAGTTTGTTCGCGAACCCGATCATGATGTAAACACAATGAAAGATTTTCTTCTCTCAGTTATAGAAGGTCTAATGGCACTTGCAGGCAAGAAAGAGCTGAAAAGAAAACTGAAATCCCCAGTTCAAATAAAAACTAAAAACCCGTTCGTACAACCAGAAAAGACACTAAAAAATGTAAGTCACAACGCCAAAGAGAACGAGCAGGAGAAGATGTGCATATTGCAGCATATCGAAAGAAGAACGACGAACATTTTGGATGTGTGAAACATGTGAAGTGCCTCTATGCTTACAAAAGAATGAAACAACATGTTTTTCAAAGTTTCATGAAAAATGACTTTTTTTTTCAATTTTAATCATATATAAATGTTTTTGAATCAAGTGCCAATTTTAATATTTTATTTAGTATCATATGTACGAGTATCAAATTTTAATCTTAAAATAATATTCAAGAAAATATTTTCTTTTGTTCCTAAAATTTAAAAATATTAAATATATATATGCAAAATGTGCATTTTTACAAGTCATGCATATATGCAATAAGTACAAAATGCATTTTAGTGTGTTTATTATGAATATTTTAGAATGCACGCTTTATTTTGTTTATTCATTCCACATATGATTTTTTTTCCCTGCTATACACCAATATGCTATAAGACATGTGCTAGTTGCATGGTGGGACAAATGGTATCCCACCTTCCCCCGTAAAAAATAAAAGCGCAGAATTTTTTTCAAGCCTTAAAGGCACTTAAGTAAGTCCATCTGACTTATTCTAAGGCTTTATTTTTTTAAAGATTAAAATATATTTTAAATATGCGTGTCGCAAAGGGTTAAAGAAAGCCATATCTCAGTGCATTATGACCTTGGCCTTCATTCCCATGAACATTCAGTAAGTTGAACATCTGATCCATGAAAATCAGTGGATAACATGTCACCAGTTTGAAGAATAAATGCATCTTTTGGTAGAAACAATGAATATACCCATTCATTAACACCAACAGTTTTAGAAGGTTAGTGCATATTGGATATCATGGCTGCTGTTTGCTTTTAAACTGCCAAAGAATACTGAAAATCCGCTTCATATTAAAGGTATGTTTTGACTTGGATGACCAATATTTTCTTGAGATGTTGTTTGGGATAAAACTTGGTTACAGCATTTCGCCTTGGAACTGAAACATGCATCAAAGCAATGGAAACATTAAGACTCACCATTTCGCAAAACATTTCATATTGAGCAAATGACTGTTTCGGCTTGAGATTGCTGTACTTCATATTTTTCAACTGCTCTTTGCTTTAAATAATCTTAAGCAATGATTACTAATCTGTAACCACACAAGTTTTGTCTCGAAATTTTAACTTAAATCTATTTCATTAATTTCAGAGAGCTTCTACAAGCAAAGAGCAATTATATATACAGGGTGTTCCATCTAGATCCCCAAACTCTGCACAGCCAATTTCCTCGCTTGGAATACATATAAAATGCCCAGGGAACTGTACTTGTACAACTCATAGTTTTCGAGATAAATGTGAAAGAAAAGTATAGCGTCGTATCTGGTGCAGGAAAAAATAACTTTAATTAGAAACATGAACATTAGTATTTACATTATGTGTATATAGGAAGATGTTCAAAATGTCCACCACGCAAATCGAGGCGAGCATGCGCGTGCCGTGGAATGACGTCATGCCATCGTGAAAATGTGCTTTAGCCGACTGCTTGGCGATTTTCAGTAGTGGCGATGTTTTGAAAACCACTAGTAAAATCCCAGAATACATTGCATAAACAAAGTTGCGAAGGCGGAGCTAAGTGACGTCCATAAATGGGTGTGACTAAGCTTGTGACGTCACAATGTATTCTCTATAGATATAGAAATAAGTATAATAAATTCTTTTATATTTTAAATTATAATAATACAGTAAGTGAATTGTACCAGTTATTAAAACGGTAAACAACGTCGCGGCCTCTCATACTTGTATTTCATACAGCTTCGGTATTTTCAAAGATTTTTTAAGCTTTAGGATTTATACAAATAAAAAGAGATTTTTTTTATTAAATTTATTGCGGCAATTATATCAGAATGTTGCAAATTATTGCGTGTCTTTTAAATAAAATAGGGCTAAAGTGCAGAATCACCCACTTTTTGTTTGGCGCTTTTTACAAGAATAAGAAGAATTGGATTTTTGTCAATTTTCTTTGACTTTGTAAGTGAAAATAGGTCGATGTGCACATGGATAAAGTCAAGGATTTTTGTGCAATTCTAGGATGTTTTTTCTAAGTAAAAATAGGTCGATGTGTACATGGATACCGAGTATGTGCAATTCTTAAAAACGCGCCAAGCAATGGATGATTCTGTACTTTCCCCTAAAATAGTATATACTTCAATTTGTGTTAAATCTTAATATAAGGGCTCAATAAATTTCAAGACTTACCCCTTTGGTGATTTTCTTGATGCTGGATTGTATTCCGAATAGCTGCTAGAAAAAAACTAATGTCTTCTTTTTGTGAATCATTCAAAACGTAAAATTAATCATACACATGACTTTTCTTTTCTTAGTTTTATATTGACATAATATTATTTACGATTTTAGTTTAAAAGGATAATAATTTAAACAACAATATCTGATTACAACCCATTCAAAATCTATCAAAAATCGAGTTCAAATTCTAAAAAAAGTGCTAGTTCTACGGTTTTCGTCTGGTTTCTCTCTGTT